ACCCTGTGACGGCCAACAAGTCCGGATGCTGGTAGGGTTATATATGTGCATGGATTGCATTTGAGATAACGGTGGTTTTGAAAAATGAAGGTAATCGCGTTACAGTTGAATGCAATTGTTGTGACACAATTTCTGAAATGTCAGTCATGGATTCAATATATATTTCCAAAAGCGGAATAGTTGATACGATTAATACCTTTCTGCCAAGGTCATTTTTTTCTTTAGCAGGAAATCATATAAGGTTGAATTATATTTGACTTCAGGATATTTATACTACAAGTACAAAGACATTTTGTCTTTGTTTTTCGCACGGGTAATATTTTGAGAATAAAATAGATCATCGCATTTTTATTCTATTGGTTTGAACCGAGGGTATTTATTACTTTGGTACCTTCAAATCTAGCTTTGCCCATCGGCCTAGGCTACCAAGAAGAAAATGATCTGTTTAACGAACAAAAACACAAAGATGCATAGTGAGGAGGAATGAATAGAGTATCACTTTATGTTTTGGAACAGTTAAGTATAACATCCAGCAATACCGTATATTATTAACATGTGGTGATGTTATCAGATTTTAAAATAAAATATAAATGTACATTTATCATCAACCCATCATTCATTCAAGTCCCAAAATTTACTTTATGGTATATGACATATACATGACAACTATTGATCAGCCGTGTTTTCAAGAAATTAACGTTTAAAATGTTTCCATATCATTTTAAAGGTTATTTCCATATCACTGTCAATATAAGTTTATAGATATAGACAAAATTAAAAGGCATTTCTATACTTACAGATGTTAATTTAAAATTTTTGTGAGCGCATAACCCAATAAGGCATTGTGCAAATATAGATGTTGCTTAATATATGAACGTGAATACTGCATTTGGAACTATTTTATCCATATGTTATCTATGTTCGTTGGTTGCCACACTTGGCAGTAGCACTCAGTCGAAGAAGTGCGTTGTCGTTATGCATGTCGCGTTGTGTTATGATCACAGTTATCAAGGTGTCCGAATTTCAAACATAAATTCACTCATTCAATACACATTGAAAATTAATTTGAAATTAGACAAAAACAAGCGTCAGTGTTAGTGGGCGTATTTCCCAACTCATAAATGCATTAAAACTTATTCTAAACAAAATTAGATATTGTAGGACTAGAGATATTTGTGAACAGCAACACCATCGATTGATTCCAGCTTCAAGTGTATATGGACTCTGTTTTTGATACAAGTTCCATATGCGTGAACAAGACATGTTACGAATTGAAAAATTTATTTCAGTATTGACTCCTACTGTTTTCTTGACTACTTATGTACACAGAATCTTGTAAATATCGATTATGATTATAAACTATCGGAGTTCGTCAATAGAAAAATTAATCATCGTTCGATCGATTGCATAGAAGATTATACTTATTACGATATCATGCACTCATGTACGGTACGCTTTAAAAATTCTGTGGTCAAGACTATAGCTGTTTCTTTTTAACTTTGCTCTTTCGATTTTTGGCATACCCTTTAGACTTGGAGAGGTATTTAGGTTGCCGATAATCTGATTTATTTGTGTATTTCGTGCTTATACAAATTCTCTCATGAATTCATCATTTGTGAAACATTATGATGCATATATGTATATGAAGTACCGAAGAACATTAGTAATGCCATGTAAAACATTTCCATGGCTTTAAATGGGTGTTTGGAGGGTATCACGCCAGCACGGATTTGAGATTAATGTTTCGCATCTGGTATAACAGGAATGCCACAGTTGACAGAAATTTAATATTCCGAATCATAGAGATTTCTACATCGGGGTCCTCATACGATTCCATGTGTTATCAAATCTTCCGAGTGTTCTCCCCTTTTCCGGAGCATCATCTGTCGCATATATATAAATATTATCAAAGTTTATGCCTATGTTCACTGTCCACGTGAAGGTAATATTTCACTCTATTCGACGGCTTGTTGTCTAAACTATTTTTGGTACTTTGTGATTTTTTTTGTGCGAGCCTGTCAAAACATTGAATTTTATACTAAGACGCAGGTTTTTTTTTTCGATTCATTTATTCCAATACTTTGTTACCCTTTCAATTAATGTTGTTTGCCAGTCGGGGTAAAAATGTTGGGAACCACTGAATCAAACAGTAACGTACAATAACATTACACCAACGCCTCCAAACTCACAGTCGATACACAGGCGCATCGTTCTCATTACCATTATTAAATAGAATATATACTACTTTCCAAAATTTGTTTAGTTTTCGCGTTTGTGATTGCGAGTATCTGTAGACTTTGATTCTGCAAAATTGTTGCAGTAAAAAAGTTTGGAAACCACTGCCCCGAGCATATAATAACAACTTTATTCACACTTCTTTACCTATATCTTAGCCATCCGTAAAATGCTGCAGCGAACTTCACTATCACATTACAAACTATGCAAAACAAATGTGACAAAGTAATGCAAAGTAATAGAATAAGCATAGCAATAAACAAGACAAGGCTGTGAACGAATTAATTTGAAAAGCATTGGGGAGTTGGGGCAGTGTGGAGGATGATAGTTTTGATGATGACTATTTTTGCTGTCGCTGTTTTTCGCCTCGGGATTCGGTCATACAGTTTGGCTACGGCGAAGACATGACGTTTGTACCACTAGTTTCGACTGTAGTACGTGAAGAAAAAACATGTGAATCTTACAAGCAAGAATTAGAAAGAATCATCAAGTCAGGATCGAACACAGGTAATGACCTCCATAGATCTAAGTAAAATAATGATCCAAAAAGGACATGAAGCCGTCGAAGTGGACGAGGCCCGCTCATCTTCGAACGTTATATTAAGTTAATCTTATCCTCATCAGCAGAAAAAGCTTTCAGTACATTTGGGCTGTTCGTCACAAAACTTCGATCTCGTTTGCATAAGTACGGAATTGATGCTTTATGTGAAACAGGAAATACGGAACAATCGCGCTGAATAATATTGCTATCTGTATTTGTCGGTTTTGAATTAGTTTGCATATTTATATACATGTATTTCTACTGAATTTAGCTTTACGTGCGTATGAAGAATTAACTTAGTTAATATGTATGTACGCGGTGTTAAAGAGGCAAAGCAAAAGATGCTTTTGAAATTTAAAGTTACATAGTAATATAGTTTTGACTAAATACGGTACTGTGCTTTAAAGACACTTACGTACATAGCCCAGGCATCCGTTAGTTAGGTTAGTAAAACTAGAATTGAATAGGGATAAAAGGACTTAGAATCCATCGCTTCCAAGACCAAAAATCGTGGGCCGACTCGAGACATAGTAATTCTGAATTTCGTCCCGTCCCCACTGGGGACTACCCAGTAGGCTACAAATTACTTTGAAACTTTACCAGAAAAACCTTTTCACTGTTTCAACAGAGTTTCTAAGGCAATCCCACGCTCGGGGGATTACATTTTTCTATCGGCTTTCCAAGTCACTACCATTGTTATATGATGTCGTTAATTTGAGTCGATAAAATTTTGTTTTTGAAATCGTATATATACACAAAAATAAACATTCGGCGGCTTCTTCGATTTATGTACATTCGAAAGGGTACTGCGATTCCAAGACAAGTTGTGAGAAATGATCAAGTGATATGTCATAAACATTGTAACCACAACATAATGTCATATTATAGCAATGTTAGAGTTACAGGTCCGAGGTTGCGAGGTTAAATGACCGAAAAAACTTTTGAGGCGGTCTCGCGGGTCGCAGTCGGAGAAAACACAAAAGTGATCAAAATATCGCGAGCTTACTTACTTTAAATTTATTGAAGAATGAGAGTTTACCGTACTAATCAGCCTGCTGTTATGTAACATACATTACATTGAGTTTTTGTTTCTATTCTAAGGAAAATTTATAAAGCCTTTTGTTATTTCAAAATTGCTTCCTGAGGAGTAACGTGGTATTTTCCTCCTCCTTTCCAGTGTTTGGTTTTGTGAGTTCTTCAAATTATATTCCTTCGTAACAGATATTACTTGAAAGCACAGCAGAAACCGCGGTTTACTTTTGTTGTAGAAAGAAAATAACTTTCCTTCCAGTTTTCCCCTGTTACCTTTCTATTGACACTCATTTTTGATGAATTGTTATGTTTGACTAACTTGCAGCGTGAGCAGGGCTATTGCTGTCGTCAAAAAAACACCAAAGCTACCAAAGTTGTGATTTCGGGACCTAGCTAAAAACCAACTGGACCGCGCGGCGCTACTTCAGCCCTGCGTTTCATCACTGCTGTCACAAGGCCAACGCTTGAAAATAGAGTACTGTGTTCACTAAAAGAAAGGCACAAAACGTCTCTCCAATTAAGGAGTTGCTTGATGTGAGTATAAGGTGCGAGGTTGTGATGGATAGCGCGACTCATCTCATCCTATCTGCACAAGAAAATTCATTCACTTGGTACCGATCATAAGACGTCATTCTCATATTAGCACTGCCTTGACGTTTATAGATACAACATTGATATTTTGTGATTTTAACAAACGCCTCTCTCGACATCAGGATTAGAAGAAGGGTTTAAATCTAGGGATCTCAACCCCAGTTGAAATAGCTAAAAATGTTGAAAACTCAAAAATGTTCAGCCATCAATACAAAAATCCGTCAAGGATTAGTATACGCAAGAATTGTTTTGTGGGCTGCACGAAATGTGCCCGCGGGTCAGGGTTTGACCACCCTGTTATATATACATACAAACTAAAATTTTGTATTTGAAGAACTTCTTTTATTTGTATTACTGTCCTCTGATAAGAAGACTGCATCATGCTGTTACTTTTCATGTTGTTACAGGTAAATGCCAGAATAGGCGATTCGGAGGTAGTCTGTGGTCGTATTAGCCCAAGCCTTATGCATTTCACGACAGTAATGCTATTTCGAAGCACAGACAGACGACTTAAACGGAGTTACTTGCAATATTCAATGAACAAACCAATAAAAATGTTCGCGACCATGTACGCCTTTCCAGAAGTTTAAAAAAGTAGAAATTTCACGACATATTTTATTTCGCATGATAATAGTAATGAATATAATGAAATTTCAGTTTTTTTTCGAATCGTTGGGTTACAGAAATGTGTGTATATTATGAACAATTGTAGTGAAAAAAGGAATGAAAAATTAATAACGTGCTATCTATGAAATGCTGTGAATTATGTCGCAAAATAAAGAAAATTAGCACACAAAATAAATATAGGAAAGCTAAATTATTAATAATTATAATAGTAATTCGAAAAACGATAAATTAAACAAAATTGTTGACAAAAAAGTAATATCATTTTTTTGGTGCTCTGAAAATAAAGGATATTAGCGCCTTGTTTATACATGCGAGAAAAACTTACCAAAACACCAAATGTAAAAATTAGCACCTAATTCAAGCAAATATACAACATATGTCCTTGACTGAAGGGAAAAATTATATGTACAAAGGTAAAGTCTCAATACCAAAGATTTCAATTCAATGCACCGTATATTCAGAATCAAGCTAATTGAAAATTAACTTCTTGTGAGTTTTATGTAAACAAATTAAGGCATTTTCATTAAATACGCAAAAGAAGTAATAAAAATATAAGGTGGTGTTGTCGACAATGCTGGTTCTAAAATTTTTCACGTAGAAATACTGTTTTAAAACGGAATGTGTGATGTAGAAAATCGTTCGATTACCCCTCAAAATCTCTCGGAAGTCAACTATAAATTACCACAGCACACTATTCCAGTAACTGTTAAATAAATAAAGACACGTTGTACTGATATAATCGAATTAACCACAACACAGTATAGGCACAGTGAAAATGCTACACAAAGGCTATACAAGTGCGCTATATCGACAAATCGTACTTGACACAAGCATAAACAACAGCACATAGTGTAATAATGTTAGCATATACGGAGCATGATTACTGGTAGAAACAGGACGAGTGTGTGCAATTAATTCATCGAGGGTGTCGCCCTATTTTAAATCAAGATAACTTTACACTGGACCAATATTATACACTGGAATGAATTGTTTAATATTATTTCTCATTTTTTGATTATTTTCCGTGGAGCTCCCTTTGTGGGTATTTTCGATCTCCTTGGTGTATCTGCGGCGCTTGACCTTGACAACGATCCTGTTGCTTTAGGAGTGGAGCTTTTCACGGGGGTAGAGTGACGTGAGGGATGGTTTGGAGGCGACAAAACTGCTGAACTTGAAACGGAGGTATCTCCTGCCGTAGGAGCTTCGGCGCTGGAAATGGAAGGGGTTGAAGATCGGTCCGAAGATCCACTTGACGCACGACTTCGTACACTTTTATGTTTTGCTGAAAATAAAACATAAATGAAAATTTCGAACACACACAAACAAAAAGAAAATAAAAATAACTACCGTATGTCTGCCAGTATTACCTCTGTGTTTATTTGAAAGTATTTTGATTCCATACTTTCAAATCCATTTAGAAGTAGGTATAGTCAAAATTCGTTCGCTGCCCAGAGCGAATGGGCTGATTTTTGCTTCCCTCTCTTTTATTAACGAGTTTTAACCACTTAGTGGCCACTCGAAGTCCTGTTCAGAGAGGTCCAACAAAACATAGGTATAAATCCACGAAAATAAACATAATGCATACATGCGCCCATTTCAACTAATCAGTTTGGGTGAGTTGGACAAAGACCTCATAGTGAATAACTTGTCCGGTTGCAACAAGATTGAGGAATTTCACATATACAAATCAAACTTCCGTATAATAAACAAAAATCAGCTTACACATAGTTAATACATTTATGTATTGGCTATACGAATTTTATATCGCTGGATGAGAAGAGAACAGGCCAAAGTCACAAATTTGAGTTTCGAGAAAATCTTGAATTTCAATATTTTCGAATATCTAGATAAGAATGTGTACTTAGTATTTGTGAAGACCTGAGCGGGCCTGAGAATATCTTTCTAATCAACATTTTCAAGCACTTCAGTCTGATAGGTGTGGTTGAATTATTTACTATTATCTGAGTGAAATAGAACCAAGACTAATTTTCTGTAATTACCTCGAATCGATTCAAAAAGTTGATTTGAATCCTTCCAGTTCGAAATTCTGAAACCAACATCCATGATTGTGACTTAGGTGCCGTTGGCCTATCACTGTAATATTATCACTAATTTACTTCAGTTTCACAACACCCTCAGTGATCATCAAATTTGGAATATCTCAACACAGGGTAGTTGAGATCCAAAGCCTAACATTGCTTTAATAGGACAAGATGACTGAACACATTTTTGAAGATTGACGTCATAGCGCACTTTCTACTCCATTCGAACATCAAGATTTATCTAAGCTTATTCCTCGTTCTTTTTCTGATCTGTGCTTACAAGTACGATTGCAGTCTAGCTCATCATCAATTGTCTTCAAAACTATTAATAAATCAGCCTATGTCCGTTCCGACACTAAGTATATCCGATGGAAAATGCATAAGTTCATCATATTAGATTCAGGCCTATTCTGTTCTCAACTTCTATAAAATATTCTATTCCAAAGTCCAGCTAAAATATTTTATATTGGTAAATTAAAAAATCCAAGATCATCATCTTTTTCGAGCATTGTTCAAAACCCAAAAGTATTTAATAAATTAAAATTCCATAAAATGTGACTTAGGCCCATTTTGTTCTCATCTAGCGATATGCTTCATAACACGGAGTCTGAATTATGACTTACGGCATTCATGTCCGTTGCTTCTGTGTGGTGTTGGGTGTATTCCTGAAGTAATGGTGTGGCGAGAAGGTGACGCGGTTCGTGATGATCCACGAGATGTCGGCCGAGAGCTTTGAAGTGATCTGAAATTGGAAAAAAATTGACTGATATTTATTTGAACTAGCGTTAATTCAACGTTTCAGATAGTAACTTTACCAGATTTTTTTCACAGGCCCTGTCTATTTCATTCTCGATTAAGAATATGTTTAAAACCTACCTTGGAGTACCGCCTCTCTTTGTTCTAAAAGCTGTCATTTGCTGAGAAGATCCGGCAGGCAAAATGAATTTTTCTCGTAATTCACTGTTGGTGCGTCCTTTAGCTAAAACACAAAAAAAAGTTAACGTCATCTCGAGTATTTTAGTTTGCAACAGATCAAATTTTGAACATTGTTCATGCAGAAATCGAGACGTGATTGAAACGCCCGCGACGACCAACTGAGAAGAAATTGCGATATCTGATAAATCTATCGAAAATTATTTAGAAAGTATTGAACATTACTACAGGATGAAAACATTAAAGCAAGGAGAGAGTATTGTTGAAGAAAGATCATACAAACCATGGCTGGAGGTTTCTAGGACAGCACTTCCATTTTCAGATGATGATTGATCTAAATTGTCTTCCGAATCCATGTCATTGTTATAACGACCAAATTTAACGGACAATAATTTACTTATTAGTGAGATATCATTTGAAATTTCAGAGTCAGTCTCGTCATTATGGTCATCTTCGGGATTTTGGGTATATTCATACAAATTGCATTGAGAGGAATAATTTTCATCGCGTCTTAAAGTTGGTGATGCGTTATCGATATCCGAGTCCATTGACGTGGCTCTCCGAAGTCGTGGTATTTTAGAGGCAGAAATTGATTTTTTTTGTGTTAAGGTCGGAACATCTAAGCTTTCCCAATTTTGGGGAGTTCGCAAGAAAGCTGTTTTAGGTTTTGAGGTTTTTACTGAGTACTTTCGCGTATGTCTATCAATAATAGCATCAAGAGATAATAACATTTTTCTACGTAAAATAGGTGTTGATGATGACTTTTCCGCGGGAGCTGTTGAAAGTCGATGTTGATGACAGAACATAAGACGTTTGATGATGTTTCGATGTCGATGAGAAAATGAAATGAAAGGAAGATAGAATGAAGAAATGAAGTACGAAAGAAAAATACAGAAGTTTTCAGATCATATTAAACGACTCATTTTTTATGATTGTTTTGATAAAAGAGATTCAGGGAAAACAGAGACGAGTTCAGAAGAACAGTAGCTATCATTGAGTGAAAAACGACAAAAAAATACACACAAATAGATCGTTCGTTATCTGCTATTGTGACAACTGAACTAATTCTATACTTACAATAAAATGTGAAATGATAAATTGTAAAAATGACAACTAAAAATACCATATATAGTATTTACCTCGACAAGGATCATTCTTCACTAAAAATTCATCAAGGGCCATCCAGCCACCACCTACGCGCACCATAACGGTGCTACGTAATATTCGTACCAATCGAAGTTGTTGATTGTCGCCAAACTAAAAAATATATAATTTGTTAAATACTTTTCATATTATTATCGGCTAAACAGCTAGTAGTAGAAGCGTAAGTGGAATTTTATATAAAAGAAGAAACTACATTGAAGAGTTACAGAATTCATGAATAATATAAATAAAAAATGATAGATCATTATAATTCACATGATATGCTTTTAATCAGCGTCATTTTGCAAACTAGTAACATGCTTTAGTCTACATAATTGAAGCGAGCCCGGAAAGACAAAGGCCAAATACCATACACACAAAAGTAGGATGAAAAGTTGAGATAATCCAAACAATCCAATGATGTTAATCTGTTTTGGTAACGTGTGGAAATCCATAATACAATGCTATGATATCCAACTTGCGACGCAAATTTGCTGATTATTAGATTTTAAACATGCCGTAAACATCAAATATAAACAACCACGAAGTTTGATGCGGCATGATGCATGGTTTGCTGAAGAATATTCATTCATTGGTGTGTGCTTGATACATTTCCGAATTTTTTATCGACAATGGCTTACATGCAATCAAAGAGCATTGTGAAACAAACATTCTATTGATTGAATTTGTATTGCTTGGGCCAAGCACGGATTTCGATTAGACCGATTTTCTGAAGTAATTCGTCTTCATTGCACGCTTTGTTCAAGTAATTTTACCACAGTTTCATTTAAATTTCAAGTACATTTATTGAATAATATTTATTGCAGGCAAGATTTCTGTTTTTTTTTTCTGGTCGCAATTGCACTTTAAACGAATGTGATGTTGATCATAAATGATAGATTAAATAAAAAATTTTCAAAATAAAATAGAAAACAATTATTTTTTATTTTTTTAAAATAATGTAATATAACGTCATGAGTTAGTATGTTAATGTTTTAGCTAAGTTAATATAAAAACGAATTGTGACCACCAGTACGGGAGGCAAGAATGTAAGATACTAGTTCGAATTGGTAGTTCTTATTTTACAAGCAATTGTTGTGATACAATTGTATAGGATTGAGGTTGTATAATGTTTGACAATCCCAAAACATTAGTGATCGAAGTATTGTTTAGCACCAGGCTGGACACATAATATAAATCGGAAGTAAATCTACCACATCGTTCGACGATTTACGCTTGATCAAGGATAATTCATGATAAATGAAATTAAAACGATATAAAGGAAAGTTTTCTAGACCTGCGCCAGAAGATATATCGATTCATCTCTGGGCCAACGTATGATAAAATATCACTTGTAAATATCTAAAATTCTAAATAAACTAATGAAAAATGCATGTATCGCGTTGCATGCAATAAACATGCGTTATTTAATTCTTCAAAAGTTAGCTATCATTAACTATAGTTGACTGCACTGCATCTTGATGGCGTTATATCATTTAAAATATGCTAATGAAAATGACGAACAATTACAAAGTGCAAACACCGAAAAAATGAAAAGTACCTGAGATCCCATGAAAAACTGTAGAGAGGAAGCAAAGATGTGCAAAAAGAGAAAAATAGTAAATAAAAGAAACAAAAAGTGAGACTATCAATATTTTTAACGAAATTTTCAGACAACAATTTTCGAGCGTGAGTAAATAAATAAATATCTGTTTTGCTCTTCTGCAACTTTCTAAAAGTCTAGTGCTCTCCTTCAAAAATATCTAAATTTATGAAGGTTTCACTATTCTCTTTTATCTAACTATTTCACCTTCCTTGTAGGAGAGGGCTTTTCAGTTTTCACGCTGCTATTCCAATCACCAAACTAAAATTTGCAATGCGAATAAATCAAATTAAAATTAAATATATGTTTTCCGAATATGAAAATATAAATTAAACTTACCCTATATTTGTTTTCTGAAATTTGTTGAACTTGGAAACGTTTCTCACATGTACATTTTGCAACTTGTCTCACAACCTGTTCAAACAAGATGATAATTCGAAATTAATAACTCCTTCTACTGTGTTTCAATATGTTATCAGTGGCAATACTTACCTCGTCTTCGATTTTATCCGCATCGGTTGCAGGTTTGTACGATTCTTTGTTAGGATGAAGCGCAGCCACGAATTCGTAGTAATCAATGAATCCATCTTTATCTTGATCGAAAATGTCGGCCACGCGCTCCATTTCAACTAAAGTTGTTGGGAATTCTAAAAAAAGATTTTTGTTAGAAACGGTTGAAACATGACCTGTTAAATAGAGTTCAAATGTCATCGCTTACTCGATTTGATAATTCCGTCTATGAATTCTTTTCTCGTAATTTTACCGTCTCCATCGGTGTCAATTCGACGGAAAAAGTCCATTACTCTTGATTTTTTGTTTTTCATCCATTTCATATACCGGGATCTCCATTTGTCGAATGAGAATGAGTCCATGCTTGCAAGCTAAGGTTAAACATAACATTGAAATAATATCAGTTTTAGATTCGACAGAGAACTGTTTGAAACTACCCGTTCAAAAACATAAAAAAACACCAACTATATACAAAAAAACAGTGAATAATCTAGGCAGCCTTTGCTCACTTCATAATAAGTATAAACTGATAATCTGATAAGTATAAAGAATATAATCTTACCTGTTTTGCGGTATCGTGAGCGTGTTGAAGTTTTTGTTGTCTATCAAGAACTTTAAACCACACTCTCTGCCATTTATTTTGAAGTTGTGCGCTAGGGGTTTCATCATCTGATAAAATATCTGTGAATATGCAAACGTTTATTGCACGGAATCTAAATATATATATACTACAATAGCTTAAAACCGTTCATACCTTGATTTTTTCCTTTTTTAAGTATGTCTGGCCTTGTTGGTCTACGTTTCGTTGTCCGGGATAGTTTGTCGTAGTCGGGTTGTAGTTTCTGCATCTCATCTTGAAATGTTTGATGTTCGGCGATGAGTCTGTAAGTTCGAGCAAAAATTGGTTCTTATTTATTTGAACACTAATTATTCCATCTCACCCACGGAAATAACACCCTAAATAGCTTACGTTTCGATGGCTTCAATTGATTCAGGCATCGGTTGGTCGTTGCTAACATCCAAATTATGTTCCGCATTTTTCAACCAGCCCATAAGTTTTTCCATGAGAGCCGCTTTCGCTTCCATATCGCCTATAGCAGAGTCGATTCTTTCGCCATGTTGCTGAGCCCACGTGACAACCTAAAAATATAATTTTAAATTACAGTTTTCAAAACTTATCCGGGCCAACTTTTCCTTATTGATCAGCTATTATCATATATTGTGTTGGCCTTTTCCTATACCCAAAGCTTTTTATTTGAGTCCCATGCAGAATGAAATATAGGTCAATAGTTTGCATACTTCATCCCATCTTGATTGCAGGACTCGCAGCCAATGTTTCAGTTGTGAGATTGCGTCAGGGTGAGCTTGTTCTAAGATCGAATTGCCCAGTAAAATACATCGTTCAAGTTCGGTTTTCTTTCGTTCGGATTCGGACATGAATTCATGATTTGACGCCTTCAGCTCCTAAAAATATTGAAAATATGATGCATTGGTACCGAACAAGTTTCAAACGTATAATGACAAAAATCACATATAAATAAATATAAATACCTGGAGTTGAAATTCGTCGTCCGGTAATTGTTGATTGAGTCGTAAATTAGTTTCAGCGGCAGATAACCAAGCGAGTATGTCGTTAGTTGAAACTTGAAATTCCTCGGCCTGAATTAGGAATGATTGATATAACAATTATTACATTTATTAAGCCACATTGTAAAGTTTAACAAAAAAAATTTAAATATATGTATAAAAACCTGAGCTTTGGCGGAACCTAATCTTGCTTCTTTCACTTTTGCAAATTTGCACAAAGCCTCCCAACGCATCGAAAGTTCCTTGAATACAAAGATGTTTCATAAAATACTTAACCAGTTGCAACATAAAAACTAAACAATATAAATAAACAGTAAACTTACCTGCATTTGTCCTTTAACCCAGGAAGAATCGGCACTTTCTGCCAAATCTGCCGAAGACTTTTCGAGCGACCGTACGACAACTTCGCGGGTTTTGATATCGCTCAAAAGGTCCTAAAATTAAAATAATAAGAACATTACCTTGAATTCAAGTCAATAATATTATTTGATATTAGTAAAAACACCTTACATTGTGATGATCGATCAAATTAGCAACTGTGTGAACATCGCCATGCACAGGTGAATCTGCAGCCACAGAAGGTTCTACTTTATACAGCCAGTCTAGAAGTGATTCGATGGCATCAATAAGGCGTCCTGAAACCATCAAAGCTTCCTCTAAAGTATTTTGCCTGAAATGTATAAAATGGTTAATTAAGGACTCTGGAATAATGATAATTTGGAATGAATATCTCGATATGAACAGAAATGAATTTTGATGCATATCTTACCTCTCTGACGCTTTTCCGCAGAGTGTGTCCCATTTTTCTTTCAGTTGTCGCAGTTTTTCGTCCACATGACTTTTATCGCCGTATGAATGGCCCTTTTCGCGTAAAGCCTTTCCACTTCTTGTGGTCGCGTCATACACGGGTCGTTTGGACCCGATAGCACGTTGAAATTCCTTAAATAAATAAAATAAAGAATTAAAAAATTGAAAAAATATCATTTATTTGTGTTTAAAAAATTATGTTAGTAATAATTTATCTATTTTATTGTTGATTACAACTACCAGCTAAATTAATCAAAACAAAATGATTTTTTGTTATATAAACTAATCACAAACCAAAAATTACAAACCTTATGATCATCTAGCTGAATTTTAATTTTGTCTGGATCGCTGGTCGCTTCATAAGTTCTGCCAAACGTTGTTGTGCCGCTCCAACCAATCACACAACTTATCTCTTGAATCATAGAACTGCAAACGAAAGATGAATTTAAGAAGAGTTTAAATTTCGCGTATAGAAAGCCTTGATGATAAACGAACAAACGCTAAAATATTGTAGACGGAACTCAATCATCAATGATAAGAGCAATAATAAAGTGAAATTCAAATAGGAGAAGAAAAATCCACCCCCGCGATGACTCGAACCACAATCCCTAGGCTTAGGAGGCCAATGCCTTATCCATCTAGGCCACCTACAGGCAGGCCGGCTTCAACGCGTTGAAACTACTATACTTAATGCAGGTGATGTTTTATGTTGCTGTCATTAATAAAGAGCGCCGTGAAAAATGAGACAAATAAAGGAGAGTAAATGGACGAGCGTTAGATGACGTCACACGCCAACTACATTGTGCCTGAAAGGCAACCGAGTCAGGAAAATTAGCGAGGACGTGACTAGGAGACGTCTGCTTTGATATTTTATAATCTCAATAACAACGTGTTTGAATTACACCAGATAGAATGGATTCCTTACCTGCTTCGCCTTTTTATGACATTCATTCAAAACGTATGAACGTTCAGATGTTTTTGAAGTAACTTTATCCCATCTGAAATGATTTTAAGTAATTACACATATGGTTAAAACAATGTAAAAAAAAATGATGTCAAGGCGTTGCACAACATGGCTGGAATATTTATTAATAAAAATGAATTACCACAAGAATTATGATCATAGGGATAAAATGGAACATGTTTTTGCGTAGGGCTTGCGCATTTAATTAAGTCATTTGTTTAATTTAGAAGTGAGCGCTCAACTGTAATATAATAAAATACTTTCAAATTCATATAATATTTCAAATTGAATTGATCTGCAAATATGTCACCTTGCATGTACGGACAAAAGTAAATTTTTTATCAAAATTCCGTCTTGCTTCTGTGAAAAATATTTCAATCGAGATCCAGCATTTTCCAACTCCAGTAATATATCTCGATGCGAATGTACGTCGTCCTCGAATTCCTGAAAATATTTTTTTTTTCGGAATATCATGCAATTCATGTCGGATTTGAGCTATTTTCAAGAAATTTATAAATTTGTAATAACATTTATAAATGTCAACAAAAAATTGATACCTTTTGTTTTGCAAGTTGATCTTCCAGCGTTTCAAAAAACACTGGGTGGGGATTCGTGTCTAATGCTTTTTCCGAGCTTGTTAACCATTTCCTGAAAGCTTGCAGGTTGTTGTGAAATTCATTAGCCTGTTGATAAACTTCTTCCAACTTTGCCTGATAATTGTGAAAGTGTTATATAAGTAAAATTGAAGTCAAGGATTAGGCGTCAAAAGAAAAATTCCTATCGATACTCACCTTACGAAGCACCATTTTTCCTTCCACGACTTTGAGTTTTTCCCGAAACAAGTCGGCCTCCACTTGGTTAGTACCGGAGTCGAATGACAAAAATTTATCCGCACCTTCCTTTCGTTTTTCCAATTCATCCATTAGTTCCTGGAATTAGTAAATTTAATAACATTTCATAACTATGTATCCAGAAAAGAAATTTAAATAATCAGGTTGATTTGCAACGATCCGTATTAATTTTGATTAACTATAAAATTAGGACCGACCTTATGCGTGTTCAACTGCTCCAATGCCGTTTCTGGTAATCCACCATAAGGGCATTTTGTCCCAATGCGTTCTCCTTGTCTTGCAACCAACGAGTCAACAAATCTAATTCTTGCTGATGACCTTTAGCTTTTTCAAGTGCTTCTTCAAGCTCCCATTGTCGTGCTTGTGCTTTGGCATTGACTTCTTCCCACTGAGAGTTGAGCTCACCCATTTTGCTTCCACGCCCTCTTTCTTGTTTGGATCTGACCCAGCTTCTGTAGCGGAGAAGCTGAGTTCGTGTGCAGCAGCTGTTATAGAGTCTAATGTGACCTTGTGTGCCGAAATGTCGTTCCAAAGTATCTGAAAAATATCAAATTGACGATATATATGAGTAGTTTTGGTTTGTGTGTATATCATGCGAACGAAATAAATACATACTTTATGTTTTGCAAGCTCTATTTCAACTTGCTGAGGATTGTCTGTTAGTGGTGGTGCTTGGTTGTCGAGGTGTTGTTCTGTCTTGTCTAACCAGGCAGCAATTTCGTTGATGGCATGATGAAGTTGTCCTAGTGCTAACATTGCAGTTTCCAAATCATGCTGTCAAAATGAGAAATCAGTAATTTTGTTCCATGCATGCAAAGATTGGACTGCAAAAAAAACGACAACATTTCCTTACCTGTCTTGCTAAAATTTTATTATTCAGTTCCTTCCAAGAGTTTCTCATATCTGAAACTGAGGCTTTTAAATTTGCCTTTTCTGCATCATCTTTTGCCTGCGACGCCGCTTGATCACCAAAGTTACACAGCTGTTCTAGTTCCATTTGATTGCTCTGAGTTTGGGCTCGCAGTCCCTATTTATAGAATAGAGAAATATAGAATTAAGAAAATTAGGAAATTCTTGCAATTGAGCGTAAATTTATTTGATCATCAATATTTATATCCTAAGTACCTTCATTTCTTCCATTTGTAGTTTGACAGTGTCTAATTCGGTGGCAACGGGAGCCATATTGTCCACTTTTTCGGAGCCTTCATTGAGAAGATCGAGCATTCGCTGAACAGCCTCTTGATATTCCACAGCCGAATTTAGCGCCTCGTCCAATTTCGTTTTGGTTTTACCGACATTGTCTTGAAGATCCGACCATGTACCGTTAAGCTGTCAAATTACGAGATAAATAAACAATCTTCAAAGATCAACAATTCATATCATTAACTAATGTTGTGTGTCGTACCTCGTCCAAGACTTTTTTAACCTCCATCGTGTGTGGGTGATCACCTGGTTGCTGTGCTATATCGTCCGTAGAACATAACTCTGTGGCTTCCAGGCGTACGGTATCCAAGTCTTTCTCGAGATTTGACATTTCTTCACAAAGCGTCTTTAAATATTTTATGTAAATGATCATTGAACAACGGTAGATAATGATGCATAATATGAACATGGAACAAGAAATAGTAACAGATTGGAGAAGTCAAGAATTTCATCAATTACAAAATATGGATATAGTCCAATCGATATTAGAAAAGACTTGGTATTTCGTATTTATGTATCGAGTTCGTATGTAATCCTCACCTCTAATACTTCTATTTGTTGCTTTACAGCAACAAGGTCAATCGAAGGTTCCCCAACTTCTTGTCCAATAATTGTATCCAGTTCTTTTAGCAGATTATGCAATGATTCCGCATCGTTCCAAAATCTCAAAGCGGAGTTCAGCAGTTCGCCTAATTCCCGCAGAAGGTTAGCAATCAGTTCTGACAAGTCCTTCCAAGCAGTCTCCATAGTTGCGAGCTTGTCTTTCACAACTGAGAGTTTTAATAAATTCAACTTTAAAAACACAGTTATATGAAGTGACTACTTATCAAGAATCATAAGCAAAAACTGTGAATACCCTGTTTGATCCTCCTGAGAGCGTTTTCATTCGTGCGGCTGAGAGAGTTCATTCCCTGGGTCTTGATGCTGTTATAAGGTAGGAAGAAAGCATTTCCGAGCTCTACCTCTTGATGCTTGAGATGTAAAAAGTATAATCACTTATGAGCTAATCGCTAATAAAAAGATGTTTAGCAAAGTACATTGTATTGTTTTTTGCAAATCAATTTTTCACGAAGCATGTGGATAGGCACTGTCATTGGGTTGCGGTTAAGATAACATTTGCTAAGAGTTATACTGCCATGGAGATAACGTCGTGTCGGGGATCGATACAAAACTTGAAAGTGACATTTCACAAATGTTAACAAGAATTACAACAAGTTTTATCGTAACAAATCACAAGTAGAATTTGATAAATATTTGTGCGCTCGACGTAGTTTCACTGGCTGTAAAAAAATATTTTTTTCTCCGACGTAGAATAGCATGAACTGATGGATAAAAAATCAAAGAATTAGTACGTACTTTAACTTTATTTATTCTTTCTTTAATTTTATCCATTTCCAAAACAACTGGAGGGAGTGACCTGAGATTCGAATTTGCGTTTGTAAGTTGCTCCAATAAAGCTTTCATCCGTTTAAAAAACTGTTTAAAAATGAAATATTTTGATACATTGAACATTGATAGCTTCAAATACATAAAACGAATGACCCCTTATTCCTATTTAAAGAACAGATATCTATTTTTAATTTTGCATGAGGTTACCATTACCTGCGATAGCATTTCGCCCAAAGCGTTTTTCTAGATTTACACACACGACCTCTCACCGCTCTCGAATACCAGCGTATTGTTTGTTAATTATCATCGGTAGATTGAACAACTTCAGCGCAAGGCCGGTTTGTCAGCCCACTAAAATATTCGAAATTATTATCACACTGAAAAATTAAAAAAATAATGACAAGAATGCAACTGATCTTACCCATAATCTGAGCCAATTGACCTCCAATTTTATTAAGTTTGTCAACATACGGTCTATGTTCAGAACATCATCACGAGCGCCTAAATAAGGAATATAAATTCAAAAATGAACTCGTGATAACTGAAGTTACCATTCTCAACACAAGTGCATGAGAAAACGCGCTAGTTTTGCTTGTGTTATAAGATGCCATAACGATAGGCAGAAATAGATAAAATATGAATTTAGAGATATATGGACAAGATTGATAGGACATGGTGAATAGTGATTAGAGGGAGGAGACCCCCTAATGGCTAGCTAAAATTAGAATACAGATTTATATTTAGAGATAATGTAGATTTATATAGACAGAAAGTGAACTGTGTTTGGTTGGCAAGCAAGAAATAGAACCCAAACTGTGAACAAATTAAGTAGCATATTAGATCTAAGGTAAAATGCTTAACAATATCAATTATTATAGAATAATTATATAGAATTTTTGATATTGAAGTAATCGGATAGATCACCTGAGCAGTAAGTTGGATCGCATGCATTTGGTTTATATTGGACACCTAAACACCTTGATCGAAACAGGGTAGGTATTTTGGTGTGTTATAAGTAGCTAAATCTAATTGTGAAACATTTCCGTGCCACCTCCAAGCTTTGCTACTTTACAATGTTGAGTGCCAACCACTATTTTACCTATATGCATATGTGGCAAGTAGTAGTTCGTTCTATAAATAAATATGGAGCGTAATTCATTTATTCATGAGACTTACTGGGGGTTGAGCTATTTTTCACAGAACCCGCGCAGCTTTGACAAAAAGATCTACTCGAATAAAAAAATAAACGATTGAAAAAATAAATTCACTTGATATAAAACTCCTACAATGCCTTATAAACATTGGACAAAAAACAGTGATGCTGTTTTGAAAAACAATTTTTTCTGCAGTCTTTCTAAACAAAATATTTGGGATTAACAATAAAATATTCGCTCGTACCTTCGCTTCTTTTTGTTGAGATTTTAAATTCATCTTCGAGAATTGCAGGCGGCTTGAAAGATTTCAATCACTCCATTGGTTTCTTCAATCCATGGCAGAAGATCGTCTTTTGCTTCACAATATGATGCTGCAAGCTGGTAGAGAGCGCTCGATAGAAGAAGCTTTGTATTTTTTGAACAATGGTCCGAAAGCTTGGATTCCAAGGCATTAACTTGTTTCTAAATGGAATACAAAATTCCAATCAATTTTGTGAAAATGAAATAACCATCAAAAAAGTAATAAATACGATACTTACATCAATTTTATCTTTATCGTCTTCGTCACAAAGATGAGCTAAAGACTCTCCTTCGTCAGATACGCTGTGAACGCGACCACGAGACGAAGCCAAATCTTCATTGAGTTCCTAAAATTGGATAATATAATTATGAAATAGAAATAAATAAAACCAGATTTTGTTTGTTTATACACATACATATATAATTTATTTACCTCTAGATGACGACATTATTATAATTATACCTTTTGATTTTCAGCTTTTTCTTTCAAATGCTCTGGAGCAAGTGACGTTATCAATACGAAGTCATCCATGCGTGACGAGAAACCATCAAGATTTTTGTCACAAGATTTGGCATGTTCGTAAAACTGAAAAAGATTATGAGGATGTTAAGAATTTTTGATAAGTCAGAAGCAAAATATGTAGTAATTTGATTACCATTATCTGTGAGCCAGATCGCGATCAAGCACGGTCGATAAAACATCATGTTTTAATGACAATATTTACCATTGGAACAAATACCGTCAAGCTTATCTAGAAACTCCACGATAGGGCTATTTTATATATCCAACAGTTTAGAAATATCTCTCGTGACAACGCAAATCAAACTAACGGCTGCTTGGATACGAACTTCTCATTTGTGATACATGCTGCACCTGAATGAACCTTTATAAACATGTCGTGAGAAACCACAAAATCGGAATTTTAATTTCATTAAATATAAGTTCAAGCAATCAAAAAAAGTAAAATTCCTATTGACAACTACAAATAAAAAAAAAATAAAAATGATAGTGCAACAAATAAGTCGGACGATTACAAGATCTTGATTAACCTATCGTTCTTCCAAACTTTTTCATCTTCATCGAGGTTGTAGCATATTCGATTCAACATATTAAGAAGAAGATCTCAATGTATTAACAAATCAATCAATTAAATAGGATACATTTTAAAATTTAAAATCTCATCCCGTTGATTTTGACAGGGTAAAATATTTAAAAGTAAGATGTATCGTGATTTTGGCAAAATAATCGTTGAAACAAAGGTTTCAAAAACGGAATTATTGTGTTAATTTCTAGCGTTGTTTGCTAGTTTATAGGAAGGTACGCTTTTTTGTAAGTCCACTAATGGGCAAAAGGAAAATTTTATGGGATTATTAGAATCCCAGAGGTTCGGTGTAGCTTAAATTAAAAATGAGACTGAAGTGATTTTATAAGTACCGCAAAAATCGCACATCACTTGAATGAAAATTTATTTTATTTTATTTAATTAGCCCATGATGGTCTCCTCCGTCGATTTATAATTTTATTTTCGTCTAGTGAGTCAGAACTCGGACCGTCATACATTCCGGAGTCTTTGCTTGTTCCTTGATAAAGATAGGCTTTGTTCAAACCGGGTTTGCCAATGTTATGAGCAACAAATCCGGTACTGAATTCGGATTCGCTTTCGTAAAAGTTCCTGCCATTTTTACCGGACAGTTTTTGACGAAGGTCGGTGGGCGAATCTTTCCCGGCTGTTTGTATTACTAGAGGGTGATTCGACGAACTTACAATACCCCTGTTGTCGTTTCTTGACACAAAATTACTCATACCAGGCAAATCATTTATGTCATTTTGTATCTCATCACCCACAGGACCACTTTGAGATGTATTTACCATGTAGACACAGGCAATTACTTCCATTTCTTTCTTAATTGGGACTTCTTCTCTTGGTTTGAAGCGAGAGAAAAATCTTCCAAAAAATGAACCTATACTTGAGGTAGATGCGGTACTTTTAACGCTACTTTTTCGAGCAACCTTCTCGCTTTTTTTTCTTTTGATTTTCGTCCCATTCTGCTGTGTTACTCCTTCCCAGCGTGCCCATTCAACAACCCACTGTCTACCAGGCACTCGTTGAAATTGGGCCTCACCCTCTTCGGAAGCTCCGTTTAGAAAACTTTCAACTCTTTTTACCAGCCCTTCCGCTGTTTCATCTGGTTTGGACTGGATTCCTGGTAACCGAATAACAGTTTTATTGGTTATTGCTTGATCGGATCCATTTTCGTTAGAAGACACAATTGACTTATTCGTATAGTTTAGATCATTATCAGCAGGTATTATATCCGAATTTTGTGTTATCACTGCCTCGTTGGTGACTTCAGAGCGTGATTTTTCTGTTCGCAAATCTTCTGAAATGCGGCTCAATACATCCCTAGCTGAATGCTTTGAAGTTGCATTTCGCTGACTGGACAATATTTCGGTATACACGGGCGTGGGCACAGTTTCGTGTTGAGAATTATTGACGAGAATTTCGGTTTCACCAACATAGTACTTTGCACTGCTGATATGTTGTTTATTTACCTTAATATTTCGATCATTCACTGTTGCCTTTTTGTTATCGATGCTGTTTGAAGTGACAACGGGTTCTGTCGTGTTATCTTCAGCAGCAGGGCGGGAATTATCGGTCCCAGGTGAATTATTCTCATGGTCGCTGTTGACAGGTTTTGATTTGTTGCGATTTTCAACAAGTGCAACAAGTTTTTGGGCAAAAGATTCCACCGGATTTTCGTTCTTATCGGAATTGCCATGATCGGGCGATTCATGCTCGTTAGAAGTGAGGACTTTTTTCATTTCAGCTTCAACGTAGGATGCTAGTTTTGAAAACGCGTTCAGTGGATTTTCCATCGCATCGTCGCTCTTCAATCTTCTAGTACGATCTAACTGCTCGACACCAACTCGGTGCCCAATCCTATCACCGCGCGTACTTTCGCGTCTTCGTGATCGGTGAGTACTCCTGCGTCGAACGCCGTGGTCATTTTCTTCCTCACTTCTGGCTATACTTCTACTGCTGTGATGACGCCTCGTGCTCTTCCGGCGACGTACACGATTTTCTCGTTCTGTGTCGTCATAATAGTCACCATCACTGCGCATGGAGTTCCCACGTAACGCGCGATGCTGCTTTCTTGAAGTGCGTCGACGTACGCGTCTTGGTTTGTCGTCATTTGACCCGTTGTCTTCACTGGTTAAATCATCATTCTTCTCAAATATACTTTCTGGGGGTCGAATAAATACGGGAACATCAGAAAGTGAAGAAAAGTTATCAATTTCCGGTATGGTATCAAGCGGAAATGTAGTTAACGTGACATCATAATCAAGAGGTGGTGGAATGTCTGGCAAATTTTCTGGATCACGATGATCGCTAGCAGCTTGGGCAACCAATAATTCACTGAAAGATATCATTGAATTTGTATCCATGAATGCCATAGGAGGCGGTGGAGCAATAGGTGCATGAACAACTCTATCTTCTTCCAGATTGTCGTAGTTTGCTGAAACTAATTTATCTGAACTGAGAGACGCGGAGAAACTGATTCCAACATTGCTGTAAGACAAGGTGGGACTTGGGCGTCCAGTGTCCTCAACTGTCGTAAATTTGAATTCATCGGCATCAGGTTCCGCAAAAGTAACAACGGTCGGATTGCGAGGCAATGTTGGCTCAGAAACACCATCCGCCTCAGAGATTGCGTTCTCATCTGAACGCAAAGTAGAGCACATTAGTTATAAATAAATCAATTATACCAATAAATGAACAAGAAAACAGCACATACCATCGCTTTCGTCTTGGTAAGCCGAGTTTTTCCTTTTCGTCAATTTAGAAACAACATTACCGATGAAGGCAAGTGACTTTCGTCGTGGTTGGCCTTTGGTCAAAGCCGTAAATAGGTTTTCTTCGGACATGTTTGCACCGACGATATATGTTGGCTTGTAAATCTCCTCCTTGCAAACAAAATTAACAAATTATTAATTCAGGTGTATAAAAAATATTTATTTATTTCAAAAAAGACGGATATCTACCTCTAATGTTTTCGGCGGTGCCTCACTGAGCTCGTCTGGTGTTGCCCATAAAGACTTCCGTCTTCGCCTGACAACAGGCTGGTCGGAATCAGCATGAAAATTAGACCGTACCTTTCCTTTGTTTTCAAGTAACTTTGATTTGTTCCATTGTTGTGCATCGGTTAATACACCGTCTTCGTTGTCGCTATCTGGAAGTCCTTCGTAGATTTTCTTTCTGGTAGAACATGAAAATTAATATAATTGGATAAAAAGTGTTCTACTTAATGGAAGGCAAAAAACATCTTATTAATAAAAAACAAATAATATTGATTACCTGTATTTGGCCATTGGTACTGTGTTCTGAGGCATCACGACCAAACAATCACCAGATTTGGTAGCAGGACTGTCTACTGATACAAGATTATCCTTCTGAAAAATTGCACGAACACTAGTTACATGTGGTATACATATGAAACATGTTAGATATGAGCAAACAGAATTCCGTCAGCTCACCTTTATATCTTGAGGTTTCACTGCCGTCATTCTGGGTAAGCTTTCTATGAGTTCTCTCGAGCTTTCGGCAATTTCATGTTGTATTTCCAGCGGAATCACACTTGATCTTGATCCAAAATTAGAACGAGTTGTATCCAAATCAAAATACGACTTAGTCTTTCGAAGATCATTTGAACTCAAAGCAGGGCGAGACATTGGTCGAAAGTCGAGAGCACTTGTTATGTCTGCTCTGCTCCGGCTTTGGTAAACCCGGTTAATTCTGTCGCGTTGGCGCAATCTTACAGGCGGTAAATCCGGTTCAACGTTAAAATCAGCCATTTGTATGTCCTCGAAAGGCTTCAAACGCACTTTTTTGTTGTACGACAACATAATGAAATTAACCACTTTTTAAAGGTAAATAGACAGAAACAAAATCATCTTGTATTAAAATTAGAATACAAATGCGGCGATTGCTATGTGTATCAACTCTAAATCAAAAGTTCCTAATCCAGAATCTCTACATACATTGTAAAATATTTTCTTATATACCTGAACAAATGTGCTTTTTCTGTAGATTGAAAACTGACAGATTATTTTCACGACTTTCTCAAGTGAACCTGGAATTCAAATCTCTGCGTACCTAACCTACTTGCTTCACACGCTACAGTTTGTCTAATTGAAAACTATTTCTATACATTCGCCTATATATAAAGAGTATCCCTGGCAACTTCCACCTTACTCTATTAAACTCAATCATAGCCTTTAATGGCGCAATCATAACGAACAATGAAAATGTGTGAGACGGTTCACAAATAAGTACCCTGAAAAGGGATTGCGAACAGATGTAAAATCTGAAATTATAAGTTTCTATCCCGAATCAAGCATGGTAAACGAATTTTCCTCATCGATGCTTTCCATTATTAGTGTGCGATTTGCTTTGATTTAATTCGGGCGATAGCGCGACCATAATAGCTTGAAACAAAATCTGACGTACACATTAATATTATACGAATTAAAAATCTTCATCTGAAATCACTACGTGATTAAAATTAGTCTAAAGTTGACATCCAAAGTCTACCCCGCCTCATAACATATTAAATCCGACTCACCGATTCCAATTTTTCTTCTGTCAGCTTTTTCGAATTTTTATGACGTTGAAGAGCCGCCTTAAGAGCATTGAAGCGTGATTCGTCTTCCGAAACAACGCTCTGCAAAGGCTCGTCTCCCCAACGAGATGCCACACGAGACAACTCTTTGGCGCATTTTTTAATCGTTTTTAAAACGGGCTCATATTCTTCAGGATGTATCGTCTAAATAAAAAAAAATTAAACCGAATGTAAAAACAAAATAATTTTGAGTAGATCGCTTAAAATATGAAGTAATTATTCACCTGTATAAGGTCATCCAACTTCTTAGTTTCCTCGCCAGAGAACGATTTAGGTTGTCTCACTGCGTCAACGTCCTTTACGTCAAGTCCGAGATTAAGCAAAGATGTGTCATTTGCGTCAAGCCATTCGTTGAGAGCGACATGAGCTTTTTGCATTTCTTGGGATAAATTCAAGCAACGGTCAAGCGAGTCCACACGATCAGCAGATCTCGACTGAAGATCGGCATATTTGACTTTGATGCTTTCTAATTTTTCCTGTACCTGGAATAACAATGCATGATTTACATTCCCATGCATATAGCACTAACAACTGTGGTAGGTTTAGTATCATATTTGAAACATGACGCCTCGAAAAAACAGTCTTCGCACAAACCTGAATGGTATCTTCTCCAGAGCATTTCATCATAAGCTGTTTTCCTTCGTTCATAGCTGCTTCGACGGTTGATTGCTTGGATACAATTTGCTCATGTATTTCCTAAATGAATGTCAGAGTTTAGGTGGATAACTTAATCAAAGGTTTCAGAATAAGCGAAAAGCAGTAGTGAATAAAATATACAGGAAATTACAAGTTCAATAGTTTAGATATTTGGTATTTCATTGCACAAAACACACAAAAAACATGCCGACATGCAAATGAATAAATGCACGACTTGAGCAGCTTCTCTCCCATTGATAATCATACTATATCAGATACGGCCATAGTGAATTGAGCTTTCAGAATCAACTTATCAGTGTACATGATGTAACTGGCCACATTTTTCATTGCAAAATTAAATTTGTGTGAATCTTGAGCTTGGCTGTCATACAAACCTTCACTTCGAGGTATACTTCTCCCACTGGAGGCGGTCTAGCGTCCGAAAGTGTAGATTGCCCATCTTGTAGTCTCAAAGCAGCCTCGGACAAAAACGCAAAAAGTCTGAGATGATCTTTGTTAAATAGACGGCAAAGGCGTAAGTTCTCCTTCATAATAGCGGTTCTGCCTTCAACACGATCTCTTAGTGCTTCATATCTACCCTTAATGCTTTCTATTTTTGTTTGAAGACCCTGAAGTAATTCCAGCGAGTATTCCGATGTTTTTGATAACAACGGGGTACCGCATATATCCACTAGCTGTCTCTGATGTTTTCCAATGTCATCCGTGAGTTTCTGTGCAATTACACCATGACGCAGCAATTACGATGAGCATAATTAAAAACATGCAGCAACAACAAATTAGGCTTTGTGACGAAATCATGCTTCCAAACGATAGATTAAAATACAACAAAAATGACAGAACAAAAAATTCGCTCTAAGAAGTAGTAACTAGCGTGTAATTCATATTTGAGCTATGTCATAGTGCGAACCCCACACTCGTTAACATGGACCAAATTCACAGACACTGATGGACATTCTGGCAATGTAAAGTTCATCAACACGCAAATCAATCAATGTCCAAGTCATAGCGAACCAAAAATGACATGATAGTGACATAACCCAACACCATCCATGCATTATTTAGACTTAGAGTACCAGCCTATACCTGTTGTTCGATTAGTTGCTCTTGTATTCGTTCAACTTGAGTGCCAATTACGTCATTGTTAGCATGGCAACGTTCCGTTTTCTCCAGCCATTCAGAAAACTCTTCTGTAAGCTCGTGGAACCGCTTTGCATCGCCGATCATTGATTTGAGCTGACTGTCTCTAAAATAAAATATAATGGTGTCGATGTGAACTAATTTTTTATACGGAATTATCAATAAAAAATTGCATGTGTATTTGACCAACGTAGTACATACCTCGATTCCACTTTAGCACAAAGCGTCTCCCATCTTTGCTTGAACTCATGTAATTGTTTGTTAATTTTTTTCCCGACTTTCCGGGGAGGCATCTGATGAAATTTGTGACCCATCTCGTAAAAAGGATAATACTGCCTCCTGGTGGCTGGCAACCATTCTTTGCAATACCTGCAATTACAGAATTTAAGTTAGGAAAATAGTTTAAAAGTGGAATAAATAAGATAGTTTGCTGTAGATATTCACAGCATACCTTTTGCTCTTCTATTTGTGCCAGAAGGACTTTATATTCCCAGCTTGGACATTTCTGACTTGCTGCGAGTTGCTCAGCGTCATTTAACCAGGAGGAAAGCGAAGCAAATACGTCCTGGAAACGCCCCGCAACTCAACAGCGCCTTCTGTAGGTTGAGTGAACGAGCATTGACCTGTTGACATTATGTTATATGTATAAAGATACTGCATATAATTAAATGATAAAATAAGCAGTGACTTATTAACTTACATTGTTAGCTAATCCATTCCACAAACGTTCTAATGTTTCCAAAGCATCTGTGATGTGATTCGTCGGTACAGAAGGGGCGGCGCTGATCACCAGAGCGTGACCATTGTAATTTAACGTCTGTACTGTAGCTTGAAGAGGTTCGAAAGAGTTTTGGCGCAAATTCTGAATACATAAAAAAGGAAAAACGTGGAAATTTGTTATATATATAATAAAACAAGATTTGATTACCTCGAATTCTTTCTGTTGCCGTAAAATTTCGTCCACTGTTGATGCGTCTGTTCCAAGGTTTGATTCAGCTTCGAAAATGTTATTTATCTCTTCAACTGCTTTTGCCATTTTTGTAAAGAAAGTGTTGACCTGTTCCAAGATGCGCGTGATTTCATCCTTGCGTTGTCCAAGCCTGGCGCCCAGTCTTTGATCCTTGCGAGTTATCATCTCGACCTAAATCAAAACGAGGTTCCAAGTAAAATTAAATTTGAACGATGTATTAAAGTGTTTTTGGGTTAGTTCGTAGAATAGTGAAATTAAATTTATTTTTTATACGAGCTATTCTAAAATTCTCAACCAAATCAAATGCATACCTCTCGTTGTAAATTATAGTCGTCCATAATGTCACCATTAGTTACCATGATTTTATACATTGATTGTAATTGAACGATTTCATCATGGAGAAGGTCTCTCTTTTGAAACAATTTTGACATTTCATTATTTTGTGCATGTAATGTTGTTTCGTCGCGTCCTACGGGCTGACATTGGTCGCATTCTTCCTCTATGTCATTCAAGCGTGACATGAGATCGCGCACTTTTTCCTGGTAAATTGTTAGTAAAAAATTATCATAAAATTACAAGAATATCACAAGAATAGTTATTTGATGAATTAGATATGTCATTAAATATATTTAGTGCAATGCGGAGAAAATATGGTTACTTGAACATTTTCTGTCTGTTGAACAGTGTCAGCAAGTTTTCCGCATTCAGCATCTAAACTCATTTTCAGAGATCGGAATCTTTGTTGATGTCATCGGCAGTTTCCGTCACGCGCTGCTTGCGTTAGTCATCCCGGTTGGAGAGTCTTTGCTCAGTTCGGCAGCAAAGTCTTCCAAATACACAACTTGTGCAGCAAGCGACGCAAGTTCTCCTTGTAGAATCTAACAATATAAAATTAATAGCATTCAAAATGCACCTTTAGCAAATGGCCGTTAATTGGCTAATCGAGGAATCTTTGGGATTTATTTTAGCCTAGTCTGAAAATTTACAATAGCATTGTCAAAATATTGATATTTTCTAAAATTTTATGAATCAATCTCGGAATCTTATGAAATATTGACTTTTTAACAAAATTGAAGTCTGACTTTACAAAAATACGAAACCTCACAAATGAACAAAAAATATAAATAAGCAAATAACTTGAAAAATTGTTCAGAAATACGACTAACCTTGAGTGCCTCAACATGGCGATCAGTTCTTGCTTCATGTGGAATAATTTTGTGTTCCTTGAGTTGCTTTTCACCATCGCTTATTTTATCTCCGAGTTCGGCAGATAGGTTTTCAAACTCATGTAAACGTTGAAGCAATTCAACAATGCATTGATCGGCTTTCAAAATTGCTGAAAATTGTCAAATCGTTTTCATATTATGAAGGAGAAAACATAGAATAAATGTTCAGGTTTAAATTAAAATCACTTACATTCTATGAGTTTATCCAAATCAGTGCTGAGATTACATTTCTTCGACTCGATGACTTCAGCATCGCCCTGGACAAAGTTTTTTTCAGTCGACTGCACATTCGGTGACAATTTTCAAATCCTCTGCTTTTTTGTGTTCTGCTTTTTTCCAGTAAATTCGATAATTCTTCCTGCTTTTTTAGCAAATCATCCTCAGCAAGAGCTGGAATGCATAACTTCACTTTGTCATGCCCATCGGAAATCCAGGAGCTTAACTCGACCGACAATATTTCCGAAAGTCAGACTCTTTTCTTGTGCTTCTTTCCAATATTATTTCGTACGTTTCTGAAATTAAAAAGAATTGGATTAAATGAGTAAACATGATTTAACGGCGAAGATTTGACTTGGCGAGTTTAGTATAATTGTCGCTTATAAAAAACAACTTTAAGTTAACTGCAACATTGAGTCGTTCGTTTACACGACGCTTCCGAAATTTTCGCCCAAGTTTTTAAATCAACGGCGTGTTTTGAAATCGAACAAAGGAAATTTACCTAATTTTTTGCTTAGCGCCTTCAAGGCTCAGTCAGCGGCCAGTGATTTTTCGTTCATCATTTCTATGGACTCGTCCGAGGTTTCCTTTGTCAACTCTTCGACAATTTGCTTGCATCTCTCAACTTTATTGGCATTCGGCTAAAATTATAAAACCCCGAATTCAAAACTTATGACAAAGAAGGCATGAACGCACAGCGGGAAAAATAAATGCGATTTCAAAAATGGAAAAACAACATTGGATTGATCCATTTATCCATCAAGACAGACCTTAACTTGAGCTTCTATCACTTTCTTTATCTCCGTTTCCTCGTGGCGTAAGTTTTCCAATCTGGAATCTAGCTTTTTCATTTGTCGTCAGTTGATGACGAAATGTCTTTGACCAATCACAAACCTCCCTTTGACAATTTATCCGAGTTCGTTAACTAAACAAACAAGAATTGTTAAATTTTTGTGAAAATATGGGGAAAAATGTTTTAGTTTTAGAAGGAACAGGTTACCTTTGTTGACCATCCCATCAATTAGAAGACTTCCGGTTTACGAGGTCACGTTTAAGATCAGCCCATTGACCCTCGATAACAGACAGATCGTTTTGAACTTCATTTGCATTTGGTAGCGTTTTTGCAACGTCTACCAAGCTTTCTATATGTGGCTTTTACAGTCAACGTCTTTTTGTAAATGTCTGAACAAAAGTATTTCGTTATGTAGTAATACTTTTTCATTAATATCTATAGATTATTGCACCTAACTAGAATTAATTGAAAATTAGAATTACCTCAACTTGCTGGCTTTGAGTAGCAAGAACAGTTCGGTCACAAACAGTCGCTCCTAACATATTTAACATGTTGCGTTTGTCAGCAAGCCAGTCTTTGAGCTGGGCAGCTCTTGTGTTGAAATCACCAAGAGCACCGAATGAACTTTCCAATTCTGAAAACATATTGATCCGAATCTTCCAAAACTTTCTTCCAGCGATCATCTGCAAACAATGAGTCATTATTTAGCAAAATTATCCAAGCTCCTTGAAAATGAATTTACAATTTACAAAACTTACTAATATCTTTGATTTGATCTTGAACATCTGGAACACCTTCACACGAGGCTTCGGTTCACAGAGTTTCACAGGAAACATTTGTAGCATTCCGCAATTCGTTGGTGTGAGAAAGAAAATTTTCCCGCCATTTCTGAACAGAGAGAAATTACTACTTGGGAAGATGATAATTAACACTACAAATGTATTAAAATGATGTTTTTTCGTCAATAATGCAGGTTAATACACGAAATAACAACAAGCTAACCTTGTGCTCTACGAGTTTATTTTTCATTGCTCCAATATCAGCTTTTTCGGAAGATTCGAGAGATTTGTCCCATGCGTCTTTCTCGGATTCGGCTGACTTCAAAATCTCTTCTATTTCATTTGCCTTAAAATGTGAGAATTATGAAAAAAGTCTGTTCAAGTGAATTTATTGTTAGAGAATATTTCATTCATACCTGATTGTCAAAATTTGTTCTCATTTCCTTGATTTCCAATAAACTTGCTTGTTTATCGGACATTTTATCTGATAAATCCTCAAACATTGTGTTTATGTCTTCAAGTTGGGCCTCTGTAGGACCTGGAATTAAATTCAATAAAACTTCTAATATACAAATGAAGAAAAATGTATATCGATGTTACGCAAATAACTAGACTGAGAGTACCAAAGCTTAATATATCGTGACAACCACATACAAGTACGTATTGATAAAGCATGCACACTGGTATAAAAAAAATAATTTTTTGTGATTGGTATAAAGTGAAGCTATGTTTCAAAAAAATGGACATGAAGATTAGAAAAAAAATATTTTTTTTTTCGTAATAATTGCATTTTTTGCTATTTAAAAAGAGTAACGCGAAGTCAAACGTGTAATGTATTTTGTTAACAAAAATTCAATAGGTTCATGATTGATATAGGAAATTCACAGAAATACCCCCAAAACATCACGACCTATGTGTAAAATTACAAACCTTTTCCATTGGCCGAGTTTGAATCGATCGTCTCTTCTATAAGAAATTTCAAAAAGAAGATTGAGGTTAGAAATAGTTCAATAAAATTATGCAAAAAATGGTATGCATTTGATCGCATTTGCCGGTTATCCAGACAATATAACAATTTAAAAAAGTAAAGAACATTCGACATGCAAAGTGTATGAATTATATAAAATAACATATAATTTAACACAATTTTTGAGGAAATAAAATGATCCAAAGCATTCATGATACAAAATGCGGATTTTGAAGCTTTGGTATAAGATTGAAAAATAAAAATGGATAATTAAAATTGAAAATTAACAATTTAGGAACAACTCGTTTGATGGCATGCACAAATCGTTAACTAACAAGCCATCAATAATATGACAAACAGCATAAAACCCACTTGTTATTTATGTAAACATGTTATTTTAAACTGACCATGGCCATGGATAAATAATGAATATTTCGTTAATTTGTCATATGAATATGATTGATCAATCACAATATGTAATTTTAAAGCATAAACACTTAGAATACCTTTCTGATTAAGCCGTGCTCTGCTTTTACGCATGCCTGCATCCAGTGTGATAGGTGATGTGATAAGCAATAACAAAACAGAACAATGAAGAAAATATTGTTAGAATTCATAAATAAAAAAATATTACTTCAAATTTTTATTGAATAATATTATTTTAAATAATTATATAAAATATAGAGTGGTTAGTGTTAAATTTAATAATAAATAATAATAAGACCAAAAAATCATGGTGATGTTAAAGTAATATTAATTAAGTTTTGGTATGGTAATGCAACCAAAGTTGATTGAAATATAATTAGGAAAATAAACAAAAAGTAAACTATTAATTCAATAATGTACACATCATTATTAAATATATAAATTGGTAATGACGTCCAATAAGCCTGAGATCCTACTATTAACTAAGAAGTAGATCTACTTATAACGTATATGACGTCCTGTAGCGATTTCGCTGAACATACAGCAAATCATATATGTATTCCCTGGTTTGAATTGAGCTCAATTTCAATCCATAGTGAATTTTTAAAAACTGTTCATACGACGCAGAAAAATAAAGAGCCAAAAAAGCGTTGCATTTGACAAGAAACTGAGGATATTCAAACAATTAGACTTCACCTAAGATAAAGTATGGTATTTCAAATATATTATTATTATTGTTTACTCAGCATTAACGTCTTAATTTTTGGCAAAACCAAATTTCATTCCAATTTTCCAATGTAATATTCGCATATTTGATGAAATCAGTATGCGGAGACTGTAGCGTATTCAATATAGTGATACCAAACAAATAATTAAGCGGAAGTATACAGCAAAAAGTTACATGCTTATGAAGAGAGAGGAGAAAACACCTTCACCTTAAAGACCAAAAACTAAAGCCGAAAGACGTTTCGGATAAAACTCAAAGTAAAAACAAATTTCTTTGATACCTTTATTTTTACGTCGATGTGCTCGTAATCTTCTCCTCGATGGCGAGATATTGGACTTCAGATCAAAAGAGCCAAGATCATATATGCGATCAAGGTCTTTTGTCTTTCCCTCCCCAACTATCCAAAAGTTCCTAAAATCAGAGAATATACTGAGTATTGGAAGTTTGTTAGATGTAGTGGATTGAGATAATATGAAAGCCTCACATTCGTGAGGAAATAAATATGAAAGTTGTGATAGGCAACGGTGAAACCGAGAAATTATCTTACCCATGCAACTGTCTGTTCCATTGCAAGACAAGATTTATCAAATTATTTGATTATTGAGAATTATTGATTCATTATTTGATTATTTATTACAATTATATTACAATTTAGTTATTGAGAACTATATAACCCCATTCTCGACATTGCAAGTTAACGAAATTTATGCACAAACGAAATATAAATATGAACGCGCTATTGAGCCGAGCTAGATAGACAAACAAGCCTACTTGTGTTTTCTCAATTTGTTCCTCCAACGTTTTTAAAACAATAGAATCTTTCATGTCACCAACGGCATCATCCACGGACTTCATCCATGACGTAAAGTCAGCCATTGATTTTTCAAATGACGTCATTTGTTCACGTCGAGCAGTGACATCTTCCTCCCTGAAGCAAGAAAGAGTCTTGTTATAAAAAAACTCGCGAAGACCATAAAAAACAGTTTATACATACATTTCAGCCAATATTTCTTGTAATTCTTCCCAAGAGCTACTCAAGTGTGACATGACGTCACGCGCTGGAGTTGCGTCACTGATGCGGCAATCGCCCACAATGGATTCTCCTTCGCGTAATGTCTGGATAATAACAGGACGCTTGCTTTCGACTTCGTCTCTAATTTCCTGAAAACAAAACCATGACGATTTAGCACATGAGCTCAGGATGAGAACTGGTAGAGATAATTCAATACTAACCTTAAGTTTTAATTCAGCATTCGGAAGTTGACTTTCATTGGGAACGGAATCGTCTTCAGTTTGTAACTTATCTAAAATAGATTCGATCCAATCCGACAGTTCGTTTGAGTTTGATTCAAAAGGAGCGAGCTTTTCTCGAAGTTCTGTAAGATCGCCTAATCTTAGTGAAGTACCGTGTTCAACTTGGCCGAACCTGTAAATTATATATTTCAATATTAGATTTTACAAGGGATTTATTCATAATTAAACTAACCATGCCCATTTGTGTCGTAAAGGGTATAAATGACCAAAAACTAACCAAATACATAAGACATTTACAAATACCTGGTGTTTAATTGACTCGTTCTTTTGTGGAGAGAGTCTGTAGCCAGGCCATCTCCTCCACCTAACAGACCAGAGCAAACCTCTTTCACTTCTGCGACTTCTGGTAGGCGCTGTTTGATCGAATCATTAATTTTCTGAACAAAAAAATATAAATTTAAAAAAAATTTAAAAAAAAAAGCGAAAAAACCAAACAGAATTTAGAAAGATATTTACGTACATTAGCTTCCTCAAAACTATTGTTCAATTTTGAAACTTGCGCCACAGTGTCCGCTTTGTTTTGACCTAGCTGCCTTTCAACATCATCCAGCCATTTGAGTAAGGATTCAAGTCTCTCGGATATTCCCTGTGACTTCGATAATGCTGAATTTAATTCAGTTGATTTCTCAGTGGCTTTGCATCGAAGATCATCATACCGTTTTCGAGTAGTACCTGACATAAAATATGAAGGTATTAATATTAAAACCAGTATATTATGGTTGCCCATTTTTTCCGCTAAGTCTAAGAGATAAACAAGCGATAAGGTGAATGTTTCCAAGAATATATATCAAATCTCTTGCCTATGTAAGAGTGACCCAAATCGTTAACCCTATGATTCGATTCCATTAATTTACAAATCAAAATTACAAGTAATGACTTACCTGCATGGTTTTTGATATCATTTCGTTCACTATCCTCTAACGCCTCCTGTGGTAGAGCAATGACGTCACGGGCGGCTTCTTCCAGTTTCTGAACAGTTGCTGCATGGTTGGTAACATCTTGCAAAATCTGCTCAACTTCTTTTGCTTGTATCTTAAAAAAAATTTTCAACTAATTCCAAATATTTTCAAGTATGAACCGAAAACATAGAACATATTTTGCCCGATTCAGCTTAGTGCCGTGATTGACGAGAGTAAAATGTTGTGTAAAAAACAAGTGAGAGTGTACTAGATATACAAAACGTCAATCCTAAGTTAATTACGGTAGTTTCAATTGCGATCAAACACTGCCATCGATAAGGCATGCTCAAATTACACAACCAATATGTCAAGATACTAACTTGTAAAGCATTTGGCTCCACAGGAAGTGGTCTTTCATCTATGTTGTTCAATTGCGTTTCGGTTTGGTCTAACCACGGATATACAGTCGGTAACGAAGCTTCGTATGTTGCTCGTTTCTTTAATACGTCGGCTAAAAGCTGCTCGCGGTCATGAGCCTGAAGTAAAAAAAACAAGATAATTAATTGCGGGAAAACGGAGTAAAGTAAAGCCTTCACTCAATGCCATATTCCTTCAACGATACTTAAAAACTATTGATATGGGGGTTTGCATACCATACTACGATGAATTTCATTTCAATATGTATATAATGATATTTAATTCAGTAATTATTTGTGAGTAAACATAGCTTGATATAAAATTTGCACGAGAAACTTGATTTTGCAGTTGTTGCGGTGTAACTCTGATCAACCACGAATAATACAAACAGCTTATCAAGTCAGCTCCATCACATGGAGATTCCTGAAGCCACCAAGCAATATTTATCCTACGCCTTCATTTTTTTCAACGGATTTTGTTGACCAACACAAATTATGGACGCAATCGAAGAAATTTCGTTGGCACAGCTCAAATAAATGTAATATAACTGACAGAGCTCAAGTGTGAAATCACATCAACTTTCCTCGTCGATTTTGAGTAAAATTAGGAACAGGTCCTCCGCAAAAATACCTTAAAATTAGCGGTAAGTGGCATAGACAATTTTTTAACAATTGCATTAGCAACAATACAAAACAATCAAATGTAAAACAGATGAGACAATTTGCATGGCATTTCACAAATTGCCTTACGTCACTAAATTCGGACGCATCAATTCCTTCGTCTTCATCATCTTCGGTTTGAAACGTCATTGTTGTTTTAGTGTCGTCATCAACAGTTATGACGTCATCGGACATGTAGTATACAGGTATCTTAAGGTCTTTGGTAATAAATTTTATTTTTGTTGTCGAAATTTCACTAGATAATATTTCGGGAGGAAAAATGTCCCTAGGATGTGCTTCAACTTCGAAGGGGTATGCGTTTGCAGGATCATTTGCATTCACAGTGTCGTCACAGTGTATAATAGAGTTAGAAGACGATTTCCGAGTTAGATGAGACTTTTTCAATTTGTTAGACAATTTAAAATTAATTTTGCTTGACTTCCGACGTTTTTGAACTTTAAATGGATATTGAGAATCTTCCGGAATAGCCTGGTCAGATATTCCCAAATCCACGACCTGCGTGGCGTAACATCCAGCTGTGGGTGACAACTGGGTCCCCATGTCACTAACTTCCATATAACTTACGTCATTAGACGGTTCTTTCGACTTAACCGAGACATCAGCGACTTTTTCATTTTCGTGCGATAAAGTAGATGAATGACTTGGTGAAATCGCATATCCGCTATCTTCTTCAGGTTCCAGTACAACACCGTTCGTCTTGATCGAATCGTTACTGATTGATTGCACGGGTGACTTCACTTTCTCTTCCGAATCACTTACTTTACTCGCTATTTCATCATCTGGTACAAATACTTCATTAACAAAAGAACCATCTGATTGTTTTACTGGGGAATCTTCGATCTTGATAACATCATCATGACGTAATGTGATGGCCTTATTCGCAGACGCACATTGGTCGTCATTGCCCAAAACTTCTACATGAATATCGTCTTTTGCAAGTTTATCGGAACCGTTCGCACCCGCGGTTAATTTGGCCGGTTTTGGATTTGATATATCTGGCATCGAAACAGCTTTTCTCGACTCCACGTCTGGTTTATATTTTTTTCCAGCAAATTTACGCCTTTTCTTAATTTTTTTCTTGCTCCGTGCTTCGCGACTGGCAATAACATCCGGATGCTCGTCCCAGTTATCAGGATCCTCGTCAGATCCGGTTTTCGTTCTTTTTGAGCAACAGTGACATGAGTTCCCCATGTTTGTTCTTCTTTATCAGATTTCTTTCGTTAAAATATAAAGTCTATTGTGCACAGTGGTTTAAAATGGCCGAGGCAGCGTATACCTTGATTATAAGTTCAACATAGCTAAATGTATTCAGCATAAAGCACAGAATTAGAACTATTATTTCACACCATCAAATCTTAATAATATATACACGCAGTTTAGAGATTTAATATGTACACTTGGTATATATTATTCTTCGATTAAAAAAAATATCCTACAAAAATTAGCATTAGCATAGAAGTTTAAATACTCCAAAATTAACATAGCTCGCGGCGTTCACAAATGACGAATTTTGACTAAAATCATATAAATATAGAAGATTAATAAGTGATACATACCATACTATAAACACATAAACATCACAGTTTGAGGATTTGACCGAAGATACGGAATAGTATATAACAATATATAAGCGAGCACATATAGGAACGTCTTTATTAGATTCAACTACTTCTGCCGCGATACGAACTTATAACTAGATATATTCATTTCTTCATTATTTTCATGTCCTGTTGGATATAGCGTCTTACTCATTAGTTATTGCATTATTCCATATTTCAAGTTTATGTTGGCTTCAGTAGCAAAAACATGAACTATGTTTATACCAAGAAATCACATAAATGGTTGAAAGAAGAACCAAGTATGTTCCATGTTATGATATTTGTGTTTAGTTTATCGAAAGTTACAATATCCAAACTATGAACCAAAACAACCGTGAAAGCACGGTTCAATAAGTCGGAATCTACTACACAGTAGCTTTCTCTTTCGCTCAACAAGGCCACCCACGAATAAGAAGAAATATGAGAAGCTAATACGAGGTCTGAGCGAAAAAGATCAAAATAAAATCTTCAGTATTTGATATTTCATTAGTATCCATTGAATTTATTCATTAAAATTTGGAACGTAGACATAAAAACGACAATATTCAGAACCCTAATACACCTATACGAATACACATAGTCACATACACGTGAGTGAGAGGCAAAGTAATTTCCATATTTCGTCGAAAATATTTTGCTGATGAAGCAGTGTCAAAATTTGCCAAGCGTAACGCTGCAAATTGTGTACCAAATATAAAAGATTTCAAGTTAAAGTACTGCACACGTATAACCCTTTCAAAACATGAAGTCAATTTTGGTGACATGTCCTATCATAAAGTCACGTTTTCGGTTTGAAAAGTATCAAGAAAAGTGAATTTGATCTGATTTAACTGAATTTGCGGCAAGTACATTTTTAACGTGGGTGACGGTAAATAACATTTGGCGCTAACTTGATTTCATTTGTTGAAAATCAAAAACCACAAGGTTATAAAAACGCAACTGTATACCACTCATTGAGTACGCTAGACATTCATGGCTTACTTGAGAATTCCTCGTGGAAACCAATATATCCATCAAGGTTTTATGTATATTATCGAATATAATTGCAGATTGTAGATGGGACCTTGTGAGGGAGCAGAAGGATATGACTAATCCAAAATGAACTTGTTGAGATGACAATACTCATTTTCAACGACAAGCGACTTTTATCTTAAGTTATTTCAGTACTTAAAAACTAATACGGCATACTGCAACTATTTTTTATCATATACGTTAAAATGGTCAATATTATCAATACAGAAAATCAGAAAGAAAAACTTCAACCCGTAAAATCTTTGCTATTTCTGTAAGTGAGACATTGTTCTAGAAACTCACGTCGGACAAATGCGGTGGGTGATATGATATTTACTCAAAACACATGGGTCTCGAGACGACGACGAGGGGTTACTATACAGTGACCCCATGTCGCCAGTTAATTTCCATATAAAGGCAAAATTGGCATCATGGACTTGGGTGACTCATATACGAATGTATCAAATTATCCGTTTCGTGGCTATACTTGGCAAACATTAGGAAACAAAATTTGTCTTCTAATGAAATTCTACACAGACGTAGAATACAATATTATAATAATAACTATAACTTAAAAACAGAGCAAAAAAACGTAACGGCGTTTGGCGAGACTCAGATATGTCGCGAATTGTGTCACTCCAGAAAAATTGCACTTGGCCTAACAACCGTATTCTAACGCTAATGATAGATTATCCCACGTTGAATACTGTCGCTCACTTACGAAACTTCTATTTTTGAATGTTTAAAAACTCAACTAGCTTCAAAACATACCGGTAAATATAGTGTAAGTAGTGGCGTAAATATCGGTAAAGAACTTTTGGACAACATATTTGACAGAGAATGAATACCAGCAAAATATTGTATCTCAGGAAATAGGATCTGACATAATTAACATTAAATAAAGTATTTTTTACAAAAAATCACTCTAAGCGGGAAGATAAAAGTAATTTAGAAATGTAAAATCATCTTTATACGACCTTAATCTTTATTGTCACGAGTTGCACGCTCCATTGTCTATTGAGGTTTTACTAACCGCATTTCACGGCCAATTACATCTCGAAGTGCCAGTTTCATGGAAAATTATTTTGTAACAAAGAGGGTGCGATTGTACAACCTGACTCTTTGGCAGTTTTTGAGCGCATTGATAATATATTCAAATTCGTTTCAGATCAAAATATTGCGATTTGATTCTTGTTTATTTTTCAACTTACTGATTGATAGTGATCTATCAACTTTCAATTAGCTATCAACTTTGATTAAAAACTGAAGGAATAATTGTCCTTGTTCAACCTTTCAACCAATTGTCCAGATGCACTATCTTGCGACATATCTGATGAACCGTAATGACATACGACAGTATGATAAGTTAACACTATTAAACATCGACTTTTACGGTCAATGATTAGAACAACGAACCACACGTTAGCAGAACAAAATTAGATTCTACATTGAAGCGTTTGATCATTCGCTAGGCCCCTAAACCTATTCATATCGTTGATACCAATAAAAAAACTACTGTAACTGGCTACAAAAATAACAAAAATGTTCAACTATTTATGTAAAATCAGTTCAATGACAGTTGATAAAATTCTAATTGGCGTTTTTAAAAACACTCTATCAAGCCAAACTAAATTACGAACACCACAATATGAAACCGATTCTCAAGTTTCCAGCATATAACATAACACTATGTTGAAATGCAAACAATTTTCCAATTGAATGAACAAAAATCGCCACAAGAAGAGACTTTTCAAATTCAAATGGTACTTGTCAGTTTGAGATGGGACTATATGGATACATTTGCACGCAAAGTGTAATAACAGGGTGTCACTACACTAAAGTCAAAGTGGACGGAATCACACACAAACTAAACAAAACTCATGCTTAATCTAACATGGATGTGTTTCAACATTATGCCGTTTTCAGACGTGGGCCATTTATAATCATTTCTCCCGCGCATGATATATAATTTATTCATATAAGATCGCTTCTATCGAGATTAGCATAGGTATTTTTCTTTCCAAAACTTCAACGAATTCGGTCTTAAGTCTGGAAATTGTCAATCGTGGGATTACCGGACATCAAAATGAGATTAACAGTATCCAACAGTGTATAATATCGTATAACAATATACCGCGTTGACAACACCGTTTCAACCAACAATAAGATATCAACATATCGTCATAAGTTATTACAGTATTATACTACGGACATTGGGTCAGACTAGTAGTGATAGTCAAAAACATATTTCTAAAAATCAGAACTGCAAGATACAGCGACAGGTGCCTTATAAATAATGCAATATGGCTTAGTGAGTTGAATCGATACCAGACGGACATTTACTATGAGCGCATCCTCCCAAACATAATAAATTATCATTACCAAACGACCAAGCATAAAATACACATAAATCGGGCATGTTTACTTTACTTACGTTGTATGCGTAATAGATAATGAACTATGAGTGTAGCGAATTAACCTGTGAATGCATATAATTAGCTAGGTGTTTTGATAGCCTTTAAACGGAATATAACCTATAAAAACATTGACGTTTGTCTAAAACAATTCATTTACAGAAAAAAAAATTCGTGGTGCTAATCTTGAACCTATGATGGAACCTATCTATTAAGATGGAAAGAAACGTATTGTATGTAAAGAATTGAAGTTCTTGTTAAATGTCATCATTTTTAACTGGACTGATAATCCTATAAAACGCAATAAACGCTAAGAAATAAATGTCATCCCACGACTTTCTCTGACATAACGGGGATATCGAGATTTTGTGGGTAATTGTTAAAAGAATTCGTCTTTTCGCGCAATCAATTTTAGCTTTTCCGAGGCAAGCGAACGCGAAGTCTCGTCAATTTGACATATGGTTAACGCAGAAAGGCGAAAAATTCGTCTGCTATGGTGTTAAATAAAGCGTGACGACCTTGTGTATTGAAAGTAATATGTCATGGCCGTGGATAGAGAGACGATAAGCGCATTTAACAGAATGAGAGCTTTTCGTTCGTAGTTATTGCTACTGATTGCAATAGACGGTATTGAAATAAAGCGCGAATAACCACATTCGCCAGCAGTGATAATGTAGAATTACAATATACGGTATCGTATTCTCTAATCAGCAACCTGGTGGATCTATTTTAAAAACTCAGTCATGCGTGTCTCTAGTCAGAAAAATATTCACATAATGATGTTCATTGCCACTGAAACAATGTGATTGAAGCACGGAAAAGGGGCAAAGGCTGAATGATTTTTATTTATCCAAATCAATATTCCATTTGCAGTTCTGCACAATACCGCAATCACGCGACATGTATATCTACATATATATTTACATATATCTGTATTTTGCATACATTCAAACCTTTGTTACAGCTGCAAATTTCTATACCGCGATTCGTGGTAATTGAACTAAATAGCATATCGGTATGCATGTCGAACAAAATCGCAGCAACTACAGATCGTGCTTAGCCTGAACTGACAATAATGACACAAGCATTGCAAACTTATATTATATAAACTAATATCATATTTTAGTAGAAGGAATAACTACGTTGTTTGCTATGTAAAATATTACTAAAAAGCAAACGTAAGCTAAAAAGTCAATGCAAGAGTAGCCTGAAGCGCACTAAAAATGACATACAACACCAACGACACGCTCATCTTACGACTGTCAAAGTTAAACTGCAGGCCAAGACGCTGATAAGTGTTAAATATGCCGCGAAAAACGTCTGTTCTGCGCCGACGAAGGCGAGCGCGTTTTTCGCTCCTCGGCGGATTATTTCACTCACAAGATCGACAAACCCCGTGCGTAAAATGCGATTTCCGAACTCATAACTGTGACGGGATGTAATTTCGATTTTTAGCGACTCATTGCAAATATTCAAATTTAAAAATTACTTGCATGAGTTTCGATACAACAAATGAAAGATACGACTGTGCTTTCATATTTATTAAGTAGACCAAAATAATTTTTAAGTCCAACTAATTAATAAAATCACGAGATATAATATTTAAGCCAGCTCTCAAAACTTGAAATACGCAATAAGAGCTTAATCTAATTAATTAATACTCGACTTTATACTTTTTAATTAAACCGTTACACTTGGTTTATACACATAAACATTTTATTTCAATTAGTTAAATGCACGTGAACCAGGAACGATTTCTGAAGAATGCATAATGCAGGAGTCCCCTTACATTATCATTTATGCGTTTGTGCAACACTTTACGATTATAAATCCAAAACAAAAAACAACCCAATTTCTCATAGATTTTCAAGATCCTCGTACGTATAATTACCCGAATTGATTGCTAGACCGGACCGAATTGAATTAATATGTTAACTCGAATTTAAATAAAATATCTCAATTCGATATACGAGAAGTAAAGAAAAGCCAGGACGAATCAAATTTTAGTAAAATTTGAAAAAAAAAAGATATTTTGAAAACATAACAATGGACCGTAACATCAATACCACATACTGCATGGTTTGAATAATTAGCGAAGCGAAAACACATTCATTCAACTACAAAGATCAAAAAGGATGATGGTTTGTTTCTTCCAACACCCCGCACAATATATAACATGTTTTGGCATTAATTTCAATCAAATTTATAACGTGAGTCAAAAAAATAAATAAATTAACAATATAACTAGAACCTTCATGCATTCTGTAGTCTTTTTACGCATAAAGTTAACTTGTTCCCGTATATTATCATGAAATATTATTTCTGTCTCGACTATGTTGATAGAAATGTAAATAATGAAACTATCGTCAACTGAAAAATTGTTAAATATTATTCCCTAAACGTATCCTAGTGAAACTAGGTGAGTTTGGTGATAACTTTTTATGTGTCTCTCTTATAAGTTGCTCTTGACAGATGAAATAATTTCGCCTACGCTGAAACGTGGGAGTGTGCGTTTACTCCGTAACAAAATTTGGTGACCCGTAAATTTTAGCTAATTTTCTTTGCGATATATTCCAGTGAAATGACCTTGATTCAACCGTAAAACATCACAACTTTCTTTACATTATGAATTTGTAACCAAATACAAAAAACTTTTGCAAAGCAGGTATCATTCTTGCTAGTACTTAGGTGAATATTTCGCCGATATAACATCTGAATTAGTTTAAGCCAAAATAATTCCACGAATCTCAAACAAACGCGCAAACAACTAACATAACGGCAGCTAAGACTGAATTGAGTGAATATGGAATAACTTTTCAAATTATCACATAATAAAAAAATAATTCGGTACAATGGTAATATATTTTACCTGTTTCACTACGTCATCATAAAAGGACTCTGTAATCGTCATCAACTTTTCTACTTCACGTTCAGTTGGGTCTGTTATGACGTCATCTTCGCATTTTGTAGGTTTGTCTTCGGCACGATCAAGGGTATCGTTATATGCCTACATCAAACATAATGAGAGTTAATGAAGGATAAATACTATCATATACCGTTGAATATTGATAAAATGGGCAATCAATAACACCTTTGCAGCTTCCACAAGTTTTTTCGATGTTATACGTAAAAATCGCAAATCAGCATTGTGCGCGCTGATTTCTGATTGGAGAGCACTGATATCACGTGATTCTGCTTCTAGGGCTGATATATCCTTAGGTGCTTGTTTCCCAGAGCGACATCTTTTATTCGCATCGTCAAGCCAGCATTGAAATGGTGAATACCCCTGTTAATTAAAGAAGTATTGTATGAATATTTGCAAAACTCGAGAAAGAAAAAGAGACATCTACGACCGGCTTTTGCTAGATGAACAAATATTATACCTGACAAAACTGGGCAAGTTCTGCTTTCGCATGAGAAAGACTTTTCATTCTCTTTTGTGTCGTGTCCAGCAATGCGATACGTTCTTTTTCTAAATCTTCGACTTCATTTTGTCGAGCGGGTACAGCGTCTTCTGCTAAAACCAACTTTATGTCGGAAGATTCGAGTAGATTTTTGTACCGTTCTAAAATATTTGCGATTTTTTCTTGAGGTGAGGAAATAAATTTGTTGTGTTCCTGAAAAATAGGGAATCAAATAGGACTAAAAGAATGATAACGATTAAGTCATGATATGAGAAACAAAAATATAACATACCTCAACCATTTCAAACTGTTTAGCCATAAGTTTTTCGTCAATTTCGGCCGGTTTTTCTGTGTCCAGTTTTGTGTGGCTTTGAGAAACCCATTCTCGGACGTGGTCCAACATAGGTTCCAACTCGGAAAGCATGGAGGAGATCGAAGCCTAGAATTCGAAATCATGTCTATTGTGCAATAAGAAATGATAAATATAACGAATAGAGCTGAATATATAAGCCTTCTGGATTTAGAGGGCAGGTATAGTTACTGATTTCAGCAAGCATCTTGATATTGTATATATAAACTAGAACTTACAATAAAGAAAAACTCGTATTGTTGCAAAAAATTCTCTGTAAACCATGAAATTTCACAAATGTAGAAATATCCTTGGTCAATGTTGTAAAAAAATGTCTATGCTTCTTGCTACCGTATCTTGATCGCTTGAGAATGAGAACCGTGCGATTTATTATTTCAAAAAGTTAGCGTGTTTTATTATTCAGAATTTCATAAAGCAATAATTTACCTTTCGTTGTTCTTCATCCTGAGCTAATTTTGCTTGCTTTTCGAGCTGCCTGAGCATTTCAGAAGCTGCTTCTTTCACGATTTCCCACTTTCTTTTCAGCGCTGATTTTGCGGCATTCAACTGTAATAAAAAAAAAGACGAAGTTACAGCAATATTCCAAACAGATTTAGGAAAACGGAACGAATAACATAAGGCCATCGATCACAACACGTAAAGTAGCATACCAGATATTAAAATGCTCCGGTTTTGCCAACCTGGTCTAATGGCATGAAGAAACATGAACTACACTACAGCATACAAAGAAACTAACCACAGCTCACCTCATCTGCAAGATCTTCGGCAAGTTTGTCTTTATTCTCGTCGGCAAAATTTTCGGCTTCCTTTATGGCAGTGTTCACACCTGGTGTAGAGGCAAGTACTTGCGCATTGATAACCTGGATATACAACGTATTTGGGTTTAACAATTTCTTCCTTTCAAAAGGGGATTATTTCGTATTTAATAAGAAGTATACACGTACCTTTATCTGTTCAAGCTGTTTTTGCAGTGATTCTAAAGTTTGTTCATCGCTGATTTCCTGAGAAGCGTCACATTCTTCTTCTGAGAACTTACGCAGGTCTTCGTTAATTCCATCGGCCTCCTCTTCTAATTGTTGTAGACGGGCAAGATTGTTGGCCAGTCCTTCGTCCAAAGCAAACTGATGACGCAATAAAGTTATATTGTTAGATATACGTCACAGACGTCATATTTCAGACGCTGTTTTGATAAAAAAGAACATGCATTCATAAAATAGGGCTGAAACCTACCAAGATAGGTAAAAACTACACGTTACGTGTAGTTCATCAAATGAGTGGGCGAAATATTTTTAAAGCAATGAATGCACTGACATGCTCTTTTCTAATGAGTAGCATTCGATTCATGCTACGAGCTCTATTAATGTAATGGTAAAACATAATTCCCATATTAAATAGATTGTACACTGGGTCAAGCATAAACTTTGGTAAAGTGCCAAATAAAGCATTAAATACACAATGTAAATGACTTCAAGTAGAAATGCTTCATGCCAAGTGAACTCTTAATATTTAGTAATAAGCAACACTTGCAATTCAGGAAATTTATTTGGAAAAATGAAGAGTTTTGAAGACATGAAAAATGAAACTTCATATTTATTTATTTTCAAAGATAGAAGAAAGCTGATAAGTGAAGTGAAGCACATTCGATCGCGTTCGCGCATATGCCATAAAAATAAATCAATAATCTAATAAAAATAATTATGGAAGTACATAGCACAAGCGCGATCAGTTATACAACAGTGAGTTGAAAAGAGAGATTGTGTGAAGCGTGTGTTCGCATGCTTTCCAATCGCATTCTTCCAGGCAAACATTCTCCAATATTTTACTCCGTCAGATGTCGCTGTCGTATTCGATGATGCAGATGATGACGAATCGCATCGAGCAATCAAAGGTCGTCGGGTAATGATAACGATTTTTCCGTCATCTCTCAATGCCCCTTCGATAGCCTCGGCCTTTTCCTGTAACTCTGCCGACAAAACGATCAACTCGTTAACGGAAAATGGGTCCAAGTGACCTCGATCCCGTTCAACAAAACCTTGAACATCATTCAAAGTATCGCTAATGGTTCTCAGTTCAGGAATCGCATCTCGAAGCAGCCTTTCCTGCGAAGAAAAACAACATATATTGTGATAACCTCCATAGTTGTGTCTAACATAAGGTAAACCCAAATATAGTCTTACTTGGACTGCAGGTTTTTCAGTTTCGCTCACTAAATTATATTCATCGATTTCCGATTCCATGGTGTTACACCAGCATATAAGTTCATTAATGCGGAACACGTACATTTGAGCTCGTTCCCTCAAAAGATTCTGTTAAAAACAAGTTTTATTTTGTGAAAGATACTCTGGTAGAAAATTATTGTTCTTATCTAACATCTTCATATCATATGATTACCTAAGTTACAAATAACCACTGTGATACTAAAACCAACGCGAAAGCAGATTAGCACGTTGAATTATAAGTTGGAAAAATTGAATATAAGAGAGAGTCACCTTGAGAGCCACTATAAGTTTCTCTGCCATTTCTTGCGTAATATAACCTCGTCTGAACGCTTCTTCCGGGCTCACCCGTTCACCTGTTGTGGGATCTGGAATGCCCCCTTGTGCAAGGTGAGCCTCTAGTAGACGGAAAGCGACAGGTTCGCTGAGCAGTCCTCGAGAGAAAGCATCAACAATATGGATACTGATTTTCCTGTAAATAGATGAATGAAGACAATGAAATGTGTTTGTGCTGAACTATAAGTTAATATAATCGAATAATTATTAGCCTTGAAATACTTATTTAAATTGATTGAAAACTGATTGAAATCTCTATAATCTCCTTCGACTTACTCGATCTCTTTACTTGGATCGGCATCCTCTGGTGTGTGATGTATGAGAATTCTGCCAGCAGGATCAAGTCCTTCCAGAATACGGGATCCTGACGTCATTTCCACGACTGCGCGGCGACTCAGAGCTCCAAGTGTGACAGTTTCACCTTAAAACGATGAATTCAAATTCAAATACAAGCATTTAAAAAGCTAAAAAAAAAAAAAAACTGAAAAGAACAAAATGTACCTGTTGTTTGGTCAATTGCGTCGTCTTCATCTTCTTCATAAATAGTTGACATTCGTCGATGTCGGTATTGATTTTCTCGCATTTCACGAGCTCTTCTTGCTCGCATTCTTGCAAGATTGATGTCAAAAGCACCAGGTTGTGATGCTTCATCAGATTCGCTGGACGAAGATGAAAACACTTCCTCTGCTTCGGTGATGGAGTCAAGGTCGCTGGAATACTTCGGAACCGATCTGTATTCGTTTACATACGTTGCTGTCGCTGGTACTTGACGCTGTTTGAGTTTGGAAGCTAATTCTTGTGATAGAAGACCTCTTGATACAGCAATATGCAAAGGAAGAATTTCCTAGATAGAAACACAGAACAATATGAATAATGACGGTAATCAATACACGGTAGTTTCCATAATTAAAAATGGATGTCATACCTTCGTGCGAGGATCTAAAACACCCCCCAGTGCGCATAACTGATCTTTGACAATCTTCTCAATCACAGATGTTTGATCTTCATGTTTATCGTCATATTCGGCTAATTGATAGAAAACATGATTGTATCATTAACATTGTACAAAACAATGACTAGAGCTTATCATTACGTTCGACATAAATGTTCTAAGAAAAATACCCAATAAAACTAATACCGTCACACAGAAGCTTCTAGAAGCTAGATAAAATGCAAATACGTATATACCGTGGACTGGAATATATTACAACTAAACTAATGTGTACCTCAGAAAACCTAGGTGTTCACATTTTTTAAATTTGAAACAAGATTGTGATAACAGCATTATCTGTGTAGTATTTTAGTAGAAGCCTTCTTAAAATGGTTGAGAAAGCCGCCGTTTGAAGAGTAGATGTGATATGAAAAGAAATCTAGGTTTAGCTTTCCCGAAAACTTTGTCATTATCAGCAATATTTCGTATAAATTTGTGAAGAAATTTCCTTGGCGATATATAAATATTTTCTGAAATGTATGATAATCAATATATATCAATACTTTCACTTACTGTGCAATTCTGTATCATCAAAATTGAACTTCATCGCGTTTTCAGTTTCCAATAATTTACTTCCTAATACAGGATCAATGATTCCCATTTTGATCGCGTCTTGTATTCGTAATTTCTCACCATCGTCAACATTGTCTATTTCATTGACAGGCGTCCTGAATTGGCTACTGTTTGGTACATGTCCATTCACAGATGGAGGTTTTAAAAGACCGCCACTGGCGACTTGTCGTTCTAAAATTCTCATGCCAGTTTGGCGATCAATTATGCCGTGCCTGGAAGTAGAATTTTTATTTAAAATGTGCATCAACGTCGTTCTACCAATCAAATGTCAAGTAGTACCTGGTAGCCACGCCTACTGATAAAGTATCTCCCGTGGTAACATCTACAACACCCTTGATTTGAGCGTCAGTGCCAAGAACTTGGAGAACAGTTGTTTTAGTTATGAGTCCCTTTACAGCCGCAGCAGATATCGCGACATTTTTTCCAGTTCTCATATCTATTATACCCTGAAAAATAATATTTGGGTTCGTTATTACAATAATACAAATTAGGAAGATTGGTATATGTTTTCAAAAATTGCTACTCTAGTAAATATCTTCAGACTGGTTTCGAATGAAATGGAACGAATAAAACTTGACTAAAACATTATTTTCTAACCGTACTTGAATGGTATTATCACCCGTACATATTACCATATACTCAATAAATCTAAATTGTAAAAAAGTAATGTCGGTTGAATGTGTAACTAATAATCCCACAAAAATTTCACCGCGCGGGATTAATCAAGAATAATTAAGAACTGTAATTAACGTCATTGGTGAATGGTCTGATGTTTACTTTTCACAGAGTTGAGCAGAGCTTGGCAATTTGCAATGCGCTTGATGGATTGTATAATTATCAATAATAGGCTAACGGAAAGTAACGTTAGACCTAAGTTCAGGGTTGCAATGTAACAGGTCTTATATCGAGGAATAACTTTGGATAAGAAAAGGATAGAAGTAGAGTACATAATAACCTAATAATGTTGACATTGGTGAATAGTGATTAGACAACACGAGATGACTAACAGGTGCATAACACCTAAATTTAATACATAAGTATAAGCTACTTTTAGTCAGAAACATTAATTTCGAATGCATTGACTACGATCATAATATCTGATCCCCATTTGGAAGCGATGCGTTGGAGGTTCGAAGCATATCAGCGCCAGATTAGCTTTATGGAGCAATGAGATATGATTGTACAGTACTTCTCTAAATATAATATGAATCAATTGCATTGCCTGCTTAAATTTATTCTTAGACTCGCAATATTTCTGGGAATTTTGTTAATCATACATTATAGGAAATGGTGGTAACTCACTTTAAAATAGCCATCAGCTTGGAGAAGTTCCAGCATATCCGTAGGTCGTACAATACCCATTTCCACCATATCCTCTAGTGTCTCGTTTTCTTCAAACTCGTCCGATTTTTCCGATACGATTTCCGATTGTATAGGACTCTCCAAAACCTGTATCACATTTAATAAATGTTCATAATTTATCTAAACAATACCAGAGAAGTACTTGTAGGACCATACATGCGAGGGCTATGCATGTACATATAGTTTTCCTTCGGTATTTCAGATAATATCTTTAGCTAACCATGGCATGGAAAGAAAGAGAAGACAGATGGATTTTCAACAACTGGAATCCCACTTCCTTTCAGGTAAGTTTGAAAATTGTTATATGTTAGTATGAGTACTTTCAAACTCATGAATTAGCCTATCATATGAGATTAAGAAAAGCTGCATGCCCAGCCAGGTAGATGGATACTAGAAAGCGAAACTTACCTCGAATATTGACAATGAGATAACTTACCCTGTCTTGTTGCACTAAAGAAACGGCCATCGGGAAGTCTATTACTTTTCGACTCAGAGCTTCGCTGACCGGAACTCTTTCGCGCTTCCTGATATCAACCAAACCACCACTTTCCATTTGCGCTTTCAGAAGCCGTTTTGCCGTTTCTCGGTCAGTGAGGTCTCTATTCAATGCCTCACAAAGAGAAATCCTCTGATTATGGCGAGGATCGTATATCCCCTCATACATGTTGCATGCTTGTATCACTTTGCAATGAGACATATCACCATTTTCAGGCTCGGAAGACTTCAAGAAGTCGAAATATGAAACTGGACGGAGCCATAGTGGATGTATAAGGGCAGGATCACGTTTATTCCGAGTTATAGCACGTTCAACAGCTTCCCACATATCTACATCTACCACGCCTTCGTGCATCGCCCTCGTGATTGGTAACCACTCTTGCGTAAAAGAATTTCTCACCCAACCCCCATGCTCTAACGCTTGCCTGATTAAAAATTCAATTACAGTATTTCGTGTGATAATCCCTCGCCGAACGCACATTGCGTAAGTGGTAGGTTCGTTTGTACGTGGGTCTCTAACTCCGTGATATAATATTTCCAAGTGACGAGAACTCGATGCCAATTGTGCATCTATCAAACCAGAATTTGTAGCATCTCTCAGGGGCAATCTTACTAGGGGATAGCATTTTACAACACCACCGCTGACAATTTGTTGGTTGATAACTTCTTGCACGAGTTTTTCTCCGATCAGATTTCTTTGAACGCCTACCACTAGAGGCACTAAATCATTTTGAATTGGATCGAGAACTCCACCGACGTTAGACTGAAGTTGAATCATCCTGCGATCGACGTCAGAATTTAGATTATACCAATATTTATTATTGTCACCGCCCTCAAATAATGTTCTAACTGTATCTTCAAACCTCTTAAGTCTATCAAACATTTTTCCATCCACAAGATCTCGACTCAATCCTTCCTCCACTGATACAAGGCGCAGACACGGTGCATTTTCCACCATAGAAGGAGTGATGCATACAATACCGCCAGCTTGAATTTGACCCTCAAGAAGTTGCGCCGCTGTTTCGTAATCTAAAAGTCCAATTTTCATTGCGGACGTCACTAAATATCGTTTCTTCGTTATTGGGTCTGCGACGGAGCTGACGCAGGCAACAAGAGGGGAATCTCTTATGTGCAACTGATGTTTCGCGTTCAAAGACGAATCTTGATATAGTGATTCACATTCTTCTTCATTCTGAAAGGCGTCGGATGAATTTTCTACGTTTCGTCTTACTAAAGTTTTGTCATCATTAGAACAAGCGGAAGCAGGTCGTTCCCGCGTAAGTGTTTTATCTTGATCTAATAACGTGATTTGAGTTTCAGATAAAAATGTAGCATTAGGATGCATCTCGAGTGAAGTTTCATGTCTTTCTTTTCCATCAATGTAATATTTTTCTATCCTAGTTCGTTCTCGACGTTCCTCCTCAGTAATTTTGTCGCTCACGTCTTTCGTTAGAGTGTGGATTAGATCATATTCTTGCCTTGAAGAAGTGTCTTCATCATTTGAAATTTCGCTTTCTGATTCTCCATGTTGGACCCCTAACCATAAATGAGAAGATTCCCCGAGATGATCTTCAAGAATGATCGGTTCCAAACTACTCCTACGACCAGATATGGCGGTTAATTTGTTTTGAGTAAGTTCCTTTTTCACATCCCTGACATTGGAATCTTTCTCCAAAATGGGTTCTTTACATATATTAATAAGAGCTGGTTCGGTAGTAGTTCGAAGAAACGTATCATCTAATCGACGTGGATGTTCTCGTGTTAAAAAGTCTGCTGTTGTGGATGAGCCTCGGCGTCGAGAAACAAAATAATCACTTCCGCCTTTATAAATATCACTTTGTCCCAATGGTATATTGCCACTGCTAAGTCTTCTTCGTCGTATCACGCTATCAGTCGCTGGTGCGGTGATTCCACCTCTGGAAGACGAGAAAAAATCACTTTCTGATCGAAAGTACAATATTTCCGGGGCATGTTTATCACCATCAACAGACTTTCTGCCTCCACAGCAACACGCTCCCATGCTACAATGTTCACAAGTTTCCGACTCTACTAAAATATTTTTCGAAGTAATTAATCCTAGAGGTCCTTCGATGAAAGGAACTATATATCTAGGACGTTTATTTACAAACTTCAATCCGAAGTAGTCTGAACTTTCATAATTTTGTTCAACTGGAGAAACGTTTCCGTAGCGAAGAGAACTTGGATGTGTGTTGCTTTCAAATAGACTGACAGCGTCGTGCTTCCAGATTGACTTCTCTCCCACAGAACGACAATCTACTTGATCTTGTAAATATGACTTACTTGCTTCGAAGTATTTAAAAAAAAACTTTATTTCTCCAGATAATTTCGAATCGCAGGTAAAAGCGCAACGTGCATTGACACCTTCGAACACATCAGCCGTGACGTCATTCAAATAATATAACTGACTACGTACAGGAGAACGCTTTACATTCCCACATGAAAGAAACTTCTTTGTTGGTGGATTGTCGTACGTACCTCTATAATCTATTTCAGAATATGTATCTAAGATTCCAGTTGTCGCAGTAGTAGTAGCTGAATCGAACAACTGAGGCCTTTGATCAGTCAGACTAAAGCGAGCTAGTTGTTGGAATGTATTTGCCGCGAATAAGCTCAAGTTGCTTGCGAACAGAATTGAATTAATAGACACTACTTCACAGCAACGGCCCGCCAGTAAGTCACCATTTGCTTCTAGGTCGTTTGGATTCCCTGATGAATTGCCTCGCTTCAGCTTTGACTGCAATTGAGACCAGTTATTAGAATGCGACCGCAACATTGCTAACTCTACGTCACAATCCATGGGGACTTCATCCATTCCAGACAACCCATGTGAGAAACGACTGTTCGCGATAATAATAAACAAAGGGTTGATGATACATGTGAGTGAGTCGCAATGTCGCGATGACTCACGATGGGGGTTATTCGATTTATTCAAGCCCAGTCTACGATTGCAGTTTACAATGTTAAAAATATCAAAGCAGTTGGGCAAAAATATTTCGTCTGTCGACTCGGTGAGAGCCAGAATATTATTTCGAAATAAATTCGAATCTTGATTATGGTGTTCGCAGATTTCATTGTATACATGCGCTACATTTGCTGTATGATCAAAGGATTTTGATACTCTCTGTCTTGGTACCGAATACTGCATTCCTTCACATATTGATTCTTTCTTATTTAATGTCGTTTTGATTTGGGGAACTCCGTAAGGATCAAATTTACGCAATTCATGAGTTCTATATAACTTAGTGAATGAACATTTCGTGATGTGTTGCTGTGACTTCGATGCAAAACCATGTGAAGTATCGATCGGCTGAGAGTTGTTGTATTGAACCTGATGACAGAAGAGAGGTTGTGAACCATTCATTTAATAATAAGACGTAATTGCAAAGTGCAAATCGAATGTGATTGAAATGTGCGAATAGCAGTGCAGTGTAGCTGACAAGCGTCCGCATTTCATTGTCTTCTTTGTTCATTCAGGCAGCTTGTTGGAGTGTGTCAGATATTGCCAAACGATCGTTGTCAACTAGTAAAACGTGATTTATTTCCAGGCCTCCGTACAATGAATGAATATATTTCATTTCATATCAGCATTATTCATATATCAGTCACTTTGTGGTGAAAGTACACATCTTAAATTACTTCTCTGCGTCCGTAGTATAGAGTTGCTGCATATACTTTTATCGTAATTGTTTACGTGAATGACGTGATTGTAATGGGACGTTAGTCGCCGATGTCATAAAGTAACGCGACTAAGTCGAATGTAACGTGTGCGGTCCTCCGACTAACGCAAACTCCGTGTTTGTGCCTAATGCCGTGTTTTCATAAAAGCATGCACTATAAGCGTAAGCAACGGTCACATAAAGTTCCTTAAAAACGACTCCTTAACTTCTCGAAACAATTTTAGTTCCAAAACTTTACCATAAATTTCATAATCGCAGATTATCTAGTTCTAGAATAATAATCAGTTATTGCACGCAATTTGTAAGTTGAATATTGTTTACAAAGTAAGAGGAGGTATTTCAGTTGCATGCATATCAGTGAGATTCCTTGGCATGAAACATTTCATAAGATAAAAGGTAATAAGACAATGTAAAAAATTGTTGTGAAAAGACATAATTGCAGTCTTTTAGACTATGTTAACTCTGCGTCTTCGACTAAAAATAGTTGAATTTATTGATGTCTACACTGTAAAAGAAGTAAATACTCATACAGCCTGACCTTATTTTGCTTAGCCTTATCATAAGCATCTTCTAATTCTTTTAGTTTTCTCGCCGCCTCTTCATATAATTGATCACCTCTGGATTGTGTTGAGTTTGTCAAGCTATCAAGCAAGTTGGAGTTTTCCGCACTAAGACTGAATAGAGAGAAAAGATGTTTGCGACTTGACTGCTTATGCCAAAGTTGCTAGTTGAAAAGTGCTTTTCAGGCCTGGTTTGCGATTGTGTGTTATTAAGATGGGTCCCTACTTAGGGCTTAGGTTTAAATAATAAACATAAACAAACACGATAAGGGTTATGTTTCAAGAACAAGCCCTCCGGCCGATCCCCATTAAACGGAATTCTTCCATTAAAAATGTAGATCGTATACGATTGATCTAATTCAGGGGTGTGGTGTGCAAACTGTGGCCAAATGCGGCCCACAAGCAAAAAATTGTGCGCGGAGCAGTGCCAGTTTTAAATGGTGTGCGGCCCGCGAAACAATGTTTTATTTTGGTTTAATCTGGTACATGCGGCCAATTCCAATCCCTTTTGCGTCGCTAAGTTTAATTTATCATCTATACATATGACGTTACGATGCCCTGCCAGCTAGCTTCTGCGAAGCGAACATCGCAATTCACAAAGCTGTCATTTGCTGAGCAGCGAGCAATCTAAGTAAAGTGCAGAACAGATGCTAATAAATTAGTAAGAACTGGCAAATGAAGGCTGAGCAATTGGAAAGCAGTTAAAAGAATTTTACCATTGAGATAGAAGCTAAATGAGTTTTGGTTTCAGCATATCAGTCGATTTTATCTAATTCTTGTCTAGAATGAAACAGATTTGACAGCAAAGTATTTGAAAATGAATGTTAGCAATTTTTACTGAAAACATCTCAACCAATATAACTTTCCACATTTGAAAAAATTTAAAAATGGCACTTTTTTGCTCAACATATTTGTGCGAATAATTTGGTTCTACTTCGGCGTCATGAATTCCCCTATCGATCGGTTTTAGCAGACAAACATTTGGATGGACTTCCTTGCTAGCACTTTCCTTAAGGCAAATTTGGAGGTTGGGAAAAGCTAGTTGCAAATTTCTCACCGAATTCGATATTCTTAAGATTAATTAATGCCAAAGGGTCTAGAACCGACGTCAAAACGTACCCCAATTTTAGACATGGTGACAGCGAAGTATGGTGCACCGTGCAATCGATACATATATACAAGTTTAAATTATATAGAGGCCGGGACTAAATCTATATCATTTTAAACGTCATGAATTTCATACCTGTCACTTTCTTCATTTAAAAATTCTCTCGATTCTTCACAAGCTCTATCAGTTATCGGTTTTTGTTGTAAAATCTCATCCATCAATACTCTTTGTGCCTCCAACATGCTTTCGAGAGCGTCGAGATCATCGTCAAAGTCTTCCGCGTCAGGAATGGCACTTTGTGATGTTTCATGTGTCGATAGTACCTTTTCGCATTCTCCAAGTCGTGCGATAAATGCGTCGTATTTTTCCTTTACAAAACATGAAAGGCTTAGCAATTTTTGTAAAATTTTAGAGCAATATTTCAATCTTACAGAGTGGCAAATGTGCACCGAAGCTTTTAACAATTATTTTATTTGTAATATCTGTAATTTTTTTCTACGATATAATATTACATGATTATAAGTAAATGAAGACTGATTTGAGTTAAGACGTATGGGCCAGGTATGATATTATTACGTCATTTCGTCTGGAAAATCGTACAGATTGATGGATAAATTTTCCTTCTATTTCGCAGTATATTACCAAGAAAAATTGATATAAAAAAATTTCTCTTTTTCAATTTTTTCCTACCGCTTTGTTCGTCATTCAATCGTAAATTAGATAGTTAATTGCCGTGCATATTAAACGTCCTTTCAGCTCAAAAAGTATATGGAATTGAATCGTAGATGTGTGAAAGTTTGTGAAGTGTATATTTATTATTGTTAGAGTGTATATTGGTATAATATATAATTCATGTCTAATTTTTTGCTTGCTTGTGATGATAACGAAACAACGTGTGATCAATGTGCATTTAAGTGATACGCTTTTTGAAAGTATATCATGCGCAGAAACTAAGCCAGCCGCCCATATCAAAAGAACAAAAAACAGACAGTACGATAAAAGCACAAAACGACGGACAACAAAAAACAACAATGTTACCACGGATTGCTTTTATTCTTCAAAGCACATATTAGCACGCAAATACATGAAGCGAAAAAGTTTGTTTTTTATTTCAAAACAAGTCTACATCACACAAATACACTCAGCAATTAAGAAAATTATAATAAAACCACGATAGTACCAAGCAGGGTAATATAATGCGTTGGCAATGCATGATTTTTGTAAAATACGACATGGTAAGATGTTCTATTCTACAGCTCGTTGTAAGCAAGTTTATTTACAAGTTGCAAATCATCGGTCATAGAAAGTCGTGCTTGCCTACGTAAGAGATCTTACTGAATAATAAAACTTTCAAAAGCACCACTGATTCGTACTATTTTTTCTTTTCAATTGCATTGGGAAATATTAGCACCGATGTCGGTTGCAGGTAAATTGAGAAAACAATTGCTTAATTACGTCTACAGTAAAATATCAAATTGTCAGAATAAGCACAAAATAAACTTCATCATTCTATATACGTTGGAAACTAGCTAAATCCGCAAAACACTACCCAAAACCAAAAATTTGACACCAGAAAAGAAAATGTTGACTTTTAGTGATTTATAAAAGCTGTTATAGTTTTTGCAAAAAGAATTTGAGTATTTTTATACAATTTTTGTCTATTTATGTATCTAATCTCTTAATAGCAAAGTTTTTTTGTAATATTTTTCAAATAAATTGCCCCAAAATTCAAAGTGCAGAATTGATAAAATATAATTTACAGCGGGAATACATGCTATTAGTAATATTAGTTCTTTACAATATTTATTTTTTCTATTCTATTTTCACTTAAAAATGATTTTTTTTTCGACTTTAGAAAATATACGAGTTCCGCACAAAATCCTTTTTTTGTTTGTTTGTTGTTTAAATGAAATAAAAAATAAAAGTAGCATATTTACATTTCGATTAAAGAGACCAATGTCAGGCAGGCGATGTAATTGCAAGTTCGAGCGAAATTACGGGTCCCCCAACCCGTAACTGCTAAAAGTTAATAAAAATTAATGTTTTAATGCTATATTAGTTTTAATTTTTACATATTCATGTTGGCTAATTGAGATTTTTTATTTAAATTGTAATTGCGATATATACAGCTAAATTTCAGTCAAAAATGGATTATAGTGTTCGGGTATGTTGGATTAAAAACAACCTGAAACGACCAATTTTGACTGGAATATTATTAATTTACCACAGAAGTCTAGCCAAGTGCACGGTGCTGATTTTTGTATCAAATATTAAGTTACAAAGTACTACTGTCGCGATTTCTGTACATTTTGTGCAATGCTAGATCGTGTAATGTAATTATATACATTTACTTTATTATCAAAAATATTCCATAATTAAAGCAGAAGGCAGTTTATATTCGATCGATTGGTTAAGTTGACTTCATCAAAGTCAAAAACCTTTGATACAAACCAGAAACATATTGCAAAGTTTAATAATGGTGTCAAATCAGCGGTTAATTTTGCAGTCAGAATCGACGATTTATTTCATCAACAGCGAATTTGAGGAACTTAAAATGACTCCCTATTTGATTTAACATAGCCAATTTCCAAAAAGAGAAATAGAAAAACACACCACGAAACGTAATTTTAAAATTTACAATCTATTATATCGTATGGTACACCTGCTATGTGATTTTTGTAATATTAAGACGATAATGTGCAAGCAGATAAAAAAAGTAAAGAGCACACAAATCACACAATGGTATTAGTAATTAATATTGTACTATTTTCAATTGACTCCGTCGTACCGCGAGTAATACCTACATTTAGCGTTTGCTAATTTTTCACCCCTAAAAATCATTTTTATTACAATATATATCATATTAATTAAAAGCAATACATTCCAAAAATACAATTTTTACAAAGACATTGCGGAACACAAAGAAATCAGGAAAGAACGTTCTAGTTATAATTTAATTATGCTGGGCCATGCATATAATGCAAGAAATTGTAGTATATATCCGCGAGAAATGCATGACCGAGCATAATTAATTAAGAAAGTCGTCCGGTTGCAGTGTTCAGTATTCCACTTCGATTTTTCACATTGTAACGTCCATTCGAGGTCGTCCTTCATATTAATCATCCAATCAATTTCACTTCCTGGGAGAGGTTAAAGGCGAAGTGTCGTCATCAAAACTACCACGCCTCTTCGGAGACCCAATTGGACTTTCGGCTGCAAAACAACGTGAAAACGATGAGGTTAATTCGTAGTACTATCTTCCTGGACATCGGTCATACGCTAGGTATATTATAGGTAATTAAGCTCAGTATATTATTACAGTCACATAACAAAGATTTTCCCGCGCATAGTTATTCAGTCAATATGGCGTCAATATTTTCGTAAACCATTTTTATTTTTTAAAATTTACCTCTAGAACTGGCAAGAGAGCTTGTGAGAGACGACTGCATAGAACCAGCTCTAATCGTTAGACCACCAGCAAGTCTGGCGTTTCTATCAATTCTAGGCAAGGCTTCCATAACACGTAAACCAGTATGACTGTCCAACGTTGCTTGTTCCAACGCTTCTGGATAGGTAAGCTGTAACAGATATAAAATAATATGAATAACCATAGAATTCAATAATTTAATAATTAAGACTTGAAGGATTTCAAAAAATGCGAAATACTGTCCACTGGTATACGGAAAACTGTTTATAATTCACAGCCGCCGTATTATGACAGTCAATAATTGGCATGGATGAATCATCAAGAATTAGACAAAAAATGGATCCAGCACTGCAGAAGTTCGTACAACAAAAGTTTGTGGTGCAGACTGTCCTGGGGACCAGTCACCAACTATCGCTAACAGTTACCGCGCTTATAAAGCATGAACTTTCCTACAAAAAGCCAAAATGGCGTTTGCTGAGTATCGTAAGAAATCGAGAGAAATTTTAGTGATTTTTGCATGACAATTCAGGGGTTTCTCGCTAAGGCCTTTCTCTCACATTTTTGAGGAATTGAAATTTATCGACCTTCGTTAACATGGCGCTCGAGACCATTTTTCATCGTTAGAAGCGAGCAGCGGGCTAGAGCAGTGTATATGGTGACTGTGAGTCAAATCGCGACCTGCGTCATGAATGAGACTCGCGAGTTTTCGCCATTGCTCCTTTGAAAGACGCAGTTACGTGCTCGCTAACCTGACTTTTTAAGTTTTGTGAATGAACTGGGTATTGATTGAAGGATAATCGTATACTTCAATAGATAACAGGTATGTGATTTAAGTTTCAAATGAAAAAGCAAATAACGAAATAATAGTAAACTACCGGTATTTGTTTTGTCTACATTTCTAGTAGAAAAGAAAATTTAGTTGAAAATTCAAAAAAAGATAACTTTTGGCTGTGTATCGATAGCAGACCGTTTTAATTAATAGAGTTTGGCGCGGACTATAGCAAGGTATTTCCGTGAATTGCGAGAAATGAATATCCATTTCCCCCCAAAGCAACCATTTTTGTTTTCTTGCAAAATCTCAATACAAGATGCATACCGTCTGAATTACGACATTTCAAAAAAAGTGTCCAACGTACTTTAAATTCAAAACATCAGGAATTCGGCGACTCGCAATGAAATTGAAACAATCCTTAAATTTCAAAGACAATACAGGCGTGGCATCTGAAATATCTCCAGAAAACGTCTATGCAAATTCTCAATACTGGTTGGTACATAAAAATCAGCTAGGATCTCGTTGTTGAATTTTTCTTTTAGCACAATAATTCCCTATCATGCGAAGCTTACAAAAATACCTCTCAGCTTGAACGTCCTACGAATTACTGATCCAGTCTATTGAAATCTATTTGGGCATGCGTGTTTCTTTCTTAACTTGAGACTCACCAATTTTAACGGAGCTTGTTAAATTCAAACATCGTTAATTATTAACCGGAACGATTCACTCTCGAACTAATATTTCTTACTCCAATGCCGAATTTGCGACAATCGCCCGGCGGCCCCATGACTGTCACCAGGATCAAATTCTGCAGGGGTCGCGGTATTCCATAGATGTTCCGCATATGGAGATATTAGTTATTAGAAAACTTTTTTTTTCACAATAAATAAAATTTTAAATGAAAAAAACAATTTGCAAACGTTTATCAAAACGCTATGAAATATTCCAGGACACGGTCAATACGATATTTTCATGAGTCTGTCAACACACGTTAGTTATCGATTAAATGCAGACATTTTCCCTCGTGACGGATTTCTCTCCTTTTGTGTTTCCGAAAATGCGGTAAATATCTTACGAGAATATTAATGGTTCATTGAATACGGTGGGATACGAGAGGCGCTAAATCTTGTTTTGTCGCGTATGCATGGACCAGTATAGTAGAGAAAGCCGTTGCCGACCAGCGCTCATGTGAACTACCCGATTACTGTACTTCAGAGATTTCCTCGTACATAATGAATTCGAAAAGCTAATTATTTCATGGCAATAAATTTGTATAAAGTTTGTTTCATTAGGTTCATTTTTCACATTACCTTTTTGTTCCTAATTTCATTCGATTACCTTTCGATTCGATTACAAAAATAGCGGAGCAACTACTTGTTATTTATCGGCCTCACATTCTCTTACACTTACGGTAACAGTTTTTGAGTCGGCGTAGTGCCAACCTTGTGGGGAAAATTAGCTTTCCGGGCGGTACTGAAATGCCGATATCCCCATTATTTTCTGATGCGTCGTTTACAAACATGGTACTGTTTTCTTATTTTGACTCCGATCTATCCAGTAGCGCAGTTTTTAGGTTAAACTGTAATTTTTCGTAACATACCTATAGAAAGTTTTATTGAATTAAGATTCCCGACACACTACCTAGATGTTGATAGACAGAATTATTCCTTACCAATAAATTAGTCTTCAGATCGACAATGGATCGAGCATATCTTCGTAAATCAGTCAATCTATCAGATGTTCTTTGATCAATCCACTTTCTTTCTATCGCTTCGTCGACAGAAATGCGGGAGCCGTTGTTAGGATCAACCACACCACCTAGTGATATAAATGAGATAATTTGAGAATTTCTGTAGAATCAAATATTTAATAGGAAAATAAGAATATATTTAACCACTTAAGTCACCAACTTACACTGTGCATTTGTCATTTATTAATCAAAAATGGCTAAGAAAAATATATACCGATATTTCAATTATGAAAGTAAAATAAACGGGTCGATATTTAAAAACGTTCGCCCCGCACTTCTTCCGTTTCAGATTTATCATGTTCCAATCGATAACATTTGCAACATGCGTGCGTTAGAAAACGGCATTTATCCTTCATTTTGATACTGAATCAAATGTTAATTGACCAAATCACAATCTAAAATTAACCAGCAATGATTTAACGAGTAAAATCTTACCAGTTACATATTGATATTCCAACAATCTCAAACCAGCGTCATAATAGCAAAGTCCTTTTTTCATAGCTTCTCCTAAAGAGCAAATCTCCTTGGTTCTGCGATCTTGGAATCCTCTGAAAGCCATTTCTGCTTTTTCAATTCTCTGTCCGGCTCGTTTGTCAATAACCCCAGCAGAAATTGCGTCGTTGATGGTCATTCGTGCAGCATTCGCTGGATTCACAATTCCACCAGTTGCAGCCTGGAAATAATAGAAAACTAAGTCAAAAAACTGTGCAAAAGCTCCAGTCAGCGATCAACAAACTATCTCAGTTATACAAAAAATGATAACAACAAGAGACTAAATAAAGAACCACGCGTGGGAATATGACTGGGCACTGAGAGAAATCAAGTTCAGTTGTGACCTAGGCAATCATGCTTGACGGAGTAAAAAAAGTGAATCGAAATGAAACTGCGAAAAGTTTGAGCGAAATATCTCATACAATTCGAAAAAATGAAATTAATAGCATTTTGGCGACTACATCCAGGTCATCCATATTTAAGTACTAAAATTCGAACCCGATTGATAATGGCGTAAAGCCATTTTTCTGCACCAAAATTCGCCACAGAAACAACGATTTAACAAACGATATATATGGCCACTTCGTGTTCAATAACGACTCATCAGGCGTATATCATGAAATTAAAATATACGCCCCATTACTAGAAAGCATTCAAGAATATTAGATCCATACGTGTATGTGGTGTTACAATTCAATACTCTCCGGATTCTTGTTTATTGAGGGATGATCTCAGATAATCAATCATTTATTTAAAAACAAAATTCATCACGTTTCTGATTAAAAAAAGGCAAATTCAAATCTCAATTTCTCGCGTACCCTCGCGTACCAATGTCGACGATAGCGACCACTCCCATTTTGCTGTTTCTACTGGTATGTGATTTAATTTTGATAACGTACATTATGTTGTTATCAAGATTATTATACAGACCTGAGCTTCTAGCAGTCTTTGTGACGTAGTACCATCAACAAGTCGTCTGCGTTCCGCCTCAGCAATTGTAATACATTCACCTTTCTTTAAATCAATAATTCCACCAATAGGTCCATTAATACCGTGGGACAGCAGAGCCAATCGTGAGGTAAGTTCATCAACAGAAATTTCGCCCTGTTTAAATAAAACTCCAAATTAACACACACAAAAAAAATCGTTTTTGAAAGTTTCCCGATTTAGATTTTTTTTAATAGAAGTTGGCTTAAATCAATATCCCAAATCCTTGAAAGTGAAAAAAATACTGTTAGAATCTGAAGTTCACTCAACCAAAATATTTCCTATACAATATCGGCCGATAAAAGTTCGCCAAGCAGTATAAAAATGCGCATGGCTATTTTAAATATGGAATCCAGCGATACATGGGCGTACAATCCATGCGAAGGTATATCATAAATCATAATTTGACATACCGGTAAGTAAATATCAGAAGGTCGGCGATAAGTAAATTTTTGATTATTGGCAATTGTACGATTTTTTGACCTCGATAATCGGTAATAATCGCACGATTATTCAACACTTTATAACGTTTTGCAATGCGCTCCTGAAATACATAGCGGAACTATTTATTTGCCTTTTGTCAAACCTGTTCCCGTCACAGCGATGACAGTGCCTGCATAAACTTACGACATAAGACCGTGAAAACAAAGCTCGACTTGAATAAAAAAAAACGGCCTCTTCGCTGATTTTGAAATATTTTGTCACTATTCAGTAATACTGGTTATCATACGTTCGAAAATTTCGATTCAGTAAATTACAGCTTGTTTCACCAAATGTAACGCGATTTTACATCAAAATGACAATCGTCACCTTAAGCGGTATGATGAAATTTAAACTTTTATGTCCTGCTTTGCCCAAAACGCAAGAAGCGAGACTCAGTCTTTCCCTGAAACCTACCCAATGTAATAGCTAGTAGAGTGAATAGTAAATTATTCAAATGCTCTTCAACTTTAAAAAGAATTTCTAATAGCCCATTAACGAAACACGTCTCGTCGTGAACATAAACTAGGACGCAACAGTCATATTCTGCGGTACGCGTTTGCATGCGAATTGAATATTTTCACGATTAATCGTATAGTCACAGTGTTTTGAAAATCCTTCCGATTTAGTCACGATTTTTCCTGCCAGCTCGAGTAAATATCAAATAAAAATATAAAACTTACCAGTTTAAATTTTGCCGCAGTTCCTTTGTCTACTAAACTCTTATCAACAGCATCGTCTATTGTTATGCTGGCTCCCGTTTGCGAATCTACAATTGGAGCTTGTTCGGATGGTGGAACTTTCTTCGATTTTGACGATGATCCTTCCGTCTCTTCCCATTCGCCCTCTTGTGCCATCAACTGTTTAGCAGTTTCGCTATCAATAAGACCTAGATGGACAAAAGATTAAATAAGTTTGGAACAAAATCAAAATGAAACAATGAATAATATTTGATAAATTACAGTACCTTTCTTATGGGCCTCTCTGACAGACAACTCTTTTCCGGTTGCTGGGTCGACGATGATGACTTTTCGTGTTCTTTGAGTCGTTCTACGTTTCTTTCTGCTGGAGCTGCTGCTTTTAGACCTTTTGCTTGATCTTTTGTCCTTCAGGATCAAGAACACCATTCCACTATCGGGTTCGGTCTGGCATCGAGACATGAGTTCCAAATAAGTCAAGTTGGCGTTTGTGTTGGGGTCAAAGAATCCCTAGAAGGAAAAGTATTCTATTAAAGCTACGAAAAATGCATTGAAAAGTCATATTTATTACCCCGTCAACAATAATTTTATTAAACAACGAAAGACAAAAATGTCACGTACTTTTGTATCATCGGATGGATCTTCCAAGATATCGTTCATCTTTTTATCGAAAATACCTCTTCTGAATGCAACCGAAATTGGGACACGATGGGCAGCGTTAGGATCGATCAAACCTCCAGTTGCAATTTGAGCTTCCAGAAGACGTATACCACGTGATTCAGTGACGTACCCTTTTCTCATTGCCTGTAAAAAATAAAGGCACAAAATTGATTCATAGGAAATTTAAAATAAAATAACTATGAAGATCAAGTTCAAATATGTGTCCACGGAGGTCGCGAATCGGCACTGGTAATTGCTGAGTTTACATAAATGATCATAGTTTTATCGAATGATAAATTTTGCAAAGCTATTGGTATGTACACCTCGTGTCAGAAAATGTAAAAAAGTGACCAAAATGTAAAATTTAAACATGATTACACATGATTCATGTATGGCGAGCTTAAACTGATGCAAACCCACCTCGAAAAGAGACAGTGTGTGACGCGTGATGGGGTCTCTGTAACCGGTGACCGCTCTTTGCGCTCTTTCCAATGCATCACGTTGGGTGTTGTCAACTAATCCTTTACCGAACGCATCTGTAACGGACATTCGGTCACCAGAGCGAGGGTCGATGATTGTTCCAGTGGCAGCCTGCGCTTCTAACAACTCCAAACCTAGATGAAAAACATGGAATATAATTAGTTGAAAATGTGATATATCGATAAAGGCATTAAAACAATTACGTTCCGACAAATATTCCATTGATCTCCGGGGTTTCAATATAAAAACCATTATCACGAACAAACTAAAAGCAAATAATTAGAAATTTCGGTTTTACTGCTGATGTGAAGGATGTTAATCATATTACAGCCTTAGGTATAGCGCTTTGCATGATTCTTTCCAAATATTCCGATACTTTGAATCTCAAAGCACAACATTGCAACTGTTGACGTGGTAGTAGTGTGGCCAAGACGTTTACTATGCTTTATTGATCTTGGTTTAGAAAAACAAGCTTTTGAGGATTTGGTCAAACGAAAAACGTTAGGATTAACTACTTCAAGAATGGGCATAATGAGTGCTTTTCGATCATTTTGAACACAAAATCAACCTACCAGTTCCACGCTTGATTATTCCTTGTTGAACTGCTTCCAGAATACTTAATTTTTCACCAGTTGCTTCCAAGATGAGTCCAGCAATTGGTTGTTCACCATGTAGATACATAGAAATAGAAGCAGCCACATTCTCCTCGGAGATCAAACCTCTTTCCAACGCAATAATGGTTTCTTCAGTTATAATACCAGCTTCCAATAAATCTATGGCAGAAGCAGTTCTAAAAACAAACGAAGATTTGTAAATTTTAGTCTGTGCATGATCAAGCTAAGGCCAGAGATAGGACACTTCAAAGGAGACAATAAAAATGTTTTTATCAAATTGTGAATATCGTACCTTAGAAAGCCGGTATTAAATTTAATGTCTTTCCGATTTTTCGTTTTTCCGGTTCCTTCCGTCTGTTGACCTCCTGTACCCTAAAAAGACACGTAAATGAAAAGAGTGATATTTACTATAAGAAAAGAATATAAGAATGTGCTTGAAAAAGATAACTTACTTTAACTTCTAGAAGCTTTATTCCAGTTTTGGGATCTTGTATGCATTTTTGCACCAAGTCCAAATATGACGAATTTTTCATCGAATTGGGGTCGAAAAATCCCTTTGTATCATCAGATGGATCTTCTAATATCTCGTTCATTCTTTCATCGAAGATACCTTGTTTGTAAGCAACCGAAATTGGTAAACGATGGTTCAATCGTGGATCAATCAAACCGCCCGTTGCAATTTGAGCTTCAAGAAGTCTGATTCCACGAGTCTCAGTCACTAAACCCTTTCTCATACATTCAAATAATGATAATACATTTCCAGATCCCTTTTCCTTGTATCTAAACATGAAATTGTTACATAAGTAATAAAATTTTTGTAAACACCGCAAATAAATACGATGATCCAAATGCTATGATCGTTAACATCGGTTATTATCTGAATTGCTTTGAAATAACAGAAATATGTATAGAACAATTATTGGACCTCCTGAAGTATGCGCACCAAGATGGCGCACAACCTGAACTCAGGGGTTCGGGTTCAGGTTGTACGACATCTTGGTGCGCATACTCCAGGAGTACCCAATTATGTAATTACTTACCCCAACACTGCTCTTTCTGCCCGTTCCAGAGGATCAATATGCAATCGATCAATCAGACCCGAAGAATACGAATCCATAACACCGAGGCGTTCTCCTGATTTTGGATCAATGATATTTCCTGTAGCCGCCTGAAATATCACAAAAGAATATACTTATTTTGCAAATAACAGAAAAAAGACTAAAAATATATATAGATAAAGATTACTAACCTGGGCTTCTAAAAATTGCAGTGCTGTTCCTCTGGTCAGAAATCCTCTCTTTGCCGCTTCGTTAATGCTTAGTTTTTCTGACGTAGATTCGACAAGGATTCCTCCAATCGGTTCGTCTCCAACTAAATTCCTTCTGATTTTATCGTAAACATCAGAGTGTTTAATTGTACCATGCTCTAACTGTGTTGCTATTTCTTCACTCACGACACCTGTTTTAACCAAATCGCCGAGTTTAGCTTCCCGTCTGTATCCTGTCTTGAACCTATAAAGAAATGATTATGTTAATAATATGACGAAATGATAACGCAATGTTGGTAGAAAAATATCAATTCTGATAAATCATCAACTACTTACGTTATATCATCTCTAGTAACCGGTTCAGTTTTCTTCGCCATTTCATGTGTGACTGTTATTTTTTCGACAGTCTTCGTTTTTCGGCTTGTTTTTCCATCAACTTCACTCTGGGAGTAAAAAATATTTTAGGACATGTTTTATAGGATTCGAACGGTTTGTCAATTTCTCCTATAATTGTTTTAGTACTCACTCTCTCTTCGGTAGTAACTGTCTTCCTCGGAGAATCCTTCTTTGTTCTTTCGCGAGTGACTTCCTTCTTGACGGATTCTTCTTTTTTCGATCGTCTTTTGCTCTTCTTTTCTTTGAGAACAAGAAATCTTAGTCCAGTATCCTCCTCAGTGATGCATCTAATTGAAATAGTAAATCCTTTTAAAATAGTCACGAAATGCCAGCAGATGATGATCATTAAACAATAAACAGCTATGACAGGGGTCCGCAAATACGGGGCAAAACAATTAAATTTGCCATAAATATAAGCATCGTGTCAGTGTACCGTATTTATTAACTACAACTTTGTAAACCTCTTATTATATTTATGGATGATTCTTATTTACTGTCGTAAAATTGGCCATCAGCATAAGGGCAAAATTTGACGTAATAATAAACGTTTTAGCAGCCGTTTAGACACTTTTGTGTCACTGTCACTGTGTGACAGATTTCCATGGTTGTGAATATTACCTCGTTTTCGCGGTTTATAGGCGCCAACTCGTAAAACCAATCCTGAAATGAGTACCAACAATTTTGCACAGATAGAGTGTATAGAAAGATTTTTTTCGGGGATTGAAAGTCGGGGAAACGTTTATTACGTAGTTGTTTGCATTGGTATTATCCGGTTCCATTACATTTGAACCCATGACAATTGCACCTGTATGCTATTGCACCTATGGAATTTTTTTTGTTTCACGGATAGTTAAACCCATACTAACCCTAACCCATAGGTTTTAGCACCCGCATATAGATTGAACCCGTGGATATACGCATGGGTTCAAATGTACATGGGTTCAAATGTACGGTCACCGTATTATCCTACTACGTAGTCAATTGCTTTGTTTCGTAGCAATCAGAGTTACCAGTAGCTGTGTGGAATTGTTTAATAAGACAGATAACGAGATTTTATGTGCTGATTTCCATATAATTTTGTGCAAGAAAATTGCGGACTGCTGTGCTGTGAGACAAACTCAGACAATCACCGTTTTAATTAGAGATGAGCGTTTTTGCATACAGTAGGATATTAGAAATATAATACAATCCACAAACCTTTCCATGAGGTCTAAATATGACAAATTTTCTTGAGTATTTGGATCGAAGAATCCTTTTGTGTCATCAGATGGATCTTCCAATATTTGATTCATTCTTTCGTCAAATAATCCACGCTCATAAGCGACAGCAATAGGTACCTATGAGACAAAGTTTTGTTAGCATCAAAATTGTAAAACGTTTTTTTTTGCTTTCACATGCATCGTGATCACCAATGTTATGAAGCACAATAAGTACGACAATGGCAAGTGTTTTGAATATACATGGTGCTCAAAATGATTGTCATGATTCGTTAGCCCTCATAAATTCTTTGCTCGTCACACACTGTCTCAAAACCCAATACAAACGTTCCATGTACCTCTTTTCTCCAACAAGAAAACAACCAAGGGCGTTGAAAAACTGAATTCTCAGCAAATACTTTTCACATATTACCAAGTTGATAATTATACTCACTCTATGAGCTGCTCTCGGATCAATCAAGCCACCAGTAGCAATTTGGGCTTCAAGAAGACGAACTCCACGAGATTCTACAACCAGACCTTTCTTCATGGCTTCAAAAAGCGACAAAATTGTATTTGTACCAGGTAACTTGTATCCATAAACTGCTCGTTCTGCTCTATGCAATGTATCAACATGCAGAGCATCGATAAGACCTAGAAGACGACATTTGTTAGAAAAAATAATGATTGCGATTTGCGAAGTAGATGCAGTTTTTTAAAACTTACCAGATTTTGCTGCCTCGTCGACTGACAATTTACTGGCATTTTTAGGGTCGATGATGTTGCCTGTTGCAGCTTGTGCTTCCAGTAGTTCAATACCGGTTCCTCTTTTGATAATGGTTTTGCGAACAGCGTCGTTGATGGATAATTTTTCGCCTAAAATAAAAACGGCATGATAAGCTAAGTCTTTATGACAATCGGAAAAAGATGTGTCAGTGCTTTGTGATAAATTACATACCTGTCTTTTCCATAATGATTCCGGCTATCGGTTCCTCACCACCGAATAAATATTGTTGAAGTTGTGAAGCGACATTTTCTTCTTGTATTGTACCAGCTTCCAAACCTATCATTTGTTCTTCTGTCACTAATCCAGCTTCAAATAGATCGACCAAAGATGCTTTACGACGGAATGCAGTTTTGAATCTAAAATAGTTGAAGTATTATATATCAGACTAAAAGTTTAGTTTATACATACCAACATAAAGTGATATCAGTGGAATTATCCTCCCAATTCTATCCATAGATTTTTATAAATGCATTATACTTTAAAGAGGATCGTGGTACAAGTAAACACATCAAGTTTCATAATCCATACCTGATATCTTGACGTCGTTTTCTTTTGGTAGTTGTCGTCGTTATAATTTCAGTAATTTCCATGGTAACCCGTTTCAAATCGATGTCATCTCTTGTGATCTCGAGGCATCGGACTCCAGTAACAGGATCGACTTTACTTTTGCTCATCAGTTCCAAATATGTGTGATTTTTCTGAAAAAAAAATAAGTATTTTGTGATTAAAATATATTAAGATAGGCACAAAAAATCAGCTTTCATATGAAATAAAAACTAACACACAATTACACAAGCCTCACAACCGCCTGAAAGTTCAAGAAATCATAAAAATACTAAGCTCCATATTAATTCGTGACGTCAAGATAATATATAATTCAATTATGACATACATAACTTCGATATAAATGTTATTTCAAAGGCAATGTGTCAACAAAATAAACTGTAAACATTTTATAACCCGCTGTTTACCCAACAAATGACAATACCCTTTCAATGACCTGTCAACAGCACCGTGCTATTTAGCGGCGCCGCCCACAAGATGTACAGAATGTCTTTTGCAAACATTAGGAAATTTTCATCTGGGCAATAATTTCTTATTGGGCCCAATTATTCGTATTTGTGGTTATTTGTTTACCAAAGGAGTTAGCGTTACGCAGTCAAGAGGCATGGAACGTGGAAGATGGCGTAGATGACATTCCAGATACAGACAGCGTAAAATATGCAATAATTTTTGTATAAACGCGAAATTTAGTCAAAATGAATTTTATTTCAAAAACAAAAAGCCTTTCTAAATTTAGTTTTAAAACCATACAAGATTTAAAACATCAAGAGTTTCCGGAGTTTTTAGAATTTAAACAGTAGTTTATTTCACAGTAAAACTTAAATATTGTGAACGAGCACTCTACATTTCACACTCCGTTGCTTAAATCGGTACAACCTACAAAATTTTTCTTTAAAAATTGCTTACGATACAATACCTTTGTATTTGGGTCGAAAAATCCTTTAGTGTCATCAGACGGGTCTTCAAGTATCGCATTCATTCGTTCATCGAACAAACCACGTCTGTAAGCCACTTGAATTGATACTCTGTGATTTGCACGAGGATCGATCAATCCACCTGTAGCAATCTGAGCCTCAAGAAGTCTGAAAAAAAAAAATTATAAAATTTGCAAATGTCTATGTAGTAACTTTACATTATAGTTCGCATGTCTGTATACATACCTAATGCCATGGCTTTCAACAACAAATTTTTTATTCATGGCTTCGTAAAGAGACAAGATTTTTCCGGTTACTGGATCCGGATATCCAGTCACGGCTTTCTCTGCACGTTGCAAAGCATCTTCGTATTTCTTTTCTGCCAAACCTTTTTTAATGGCCTCGTCTACTGTCATCATATTCCCAGTGTGGGGATCGATAATATTTCCACAACCAGCCTGGGCTTCGATAAGAGCAAGTCTAAAGAAAATTATGATGTTATCAAAGTATTGACGTCACACGACCAGTGATAAAAGAAAACGAAAAATCACACTTACCCGGTTCCTGTCATGATGATTCCGCGTATCATCGCTTCACTGATCGACATTTTCTTATTGTTAGCCTTTTTAACAATGATTCCAGATATTGGTTGCTGACCAACCAAGTATTGGTGCAAGCTTGGTGCGACCTGAATTGGTTGGAATAAAATCATGAAATATATTTATTCTCAAAATAAATAAAAATTCAAATTTGTGCCATTAAAGTGAAACAAAATTATATTTAATAACGATTGACAGTAAACATCACGGTTGCTACTAAAATAAACAGATCAATAGAGTAGGATATTGTCATCCATTAAACAATGATCATCAAAGTTAAAATTTAATTGAAAATAATTAAAGCTGAAGTTATACTCCTTCCCATCGGTAGCATATTAAAGATTCAACTATTCTAGAAAAGTATACGAAACCTACATCTTCCTCTGTGACATTGCCAAGTTGCAACTGTTCAGTTGTTTCCGGTGATACACATCCTGCCTCATCTAAATCAAACAAGCTAGCTTGTCGTCGGAAAGCAGTATCAAACAGAATATCCTTCTTAGACTTCTTCTTTTTCGAGGTAGTAGTTGTGGTAATTTCCGTGATGGTAGTAGTTTTACTATTGCGTTCCTCTTCTTCACGTTTGGCCGCATCCTGCAATTAAACGTGACGTCAGAAGTGATGATATCAAATCTGTTCAAAAATGGCACCAAATCCAATAACAGAAATTACGGAGTTTACACACTTTTCCTCTCAACCCTAACCTCGTTTGGAGATCCACCCACAATCTGACTTGAAAAGATTTATTCCCATACCCGAATAGCCTTGGCTTTTGCTCTTTTTCTCCTCTTCAAAACAACTTCTGGGGATATACAACAAGCGAAACAACAATATTTTGTTATGAAGTAGCCTATTGCATCATCCGAATCGCTCATGACTGCCACACAAAGTTGCTCTCTAAGTTACCAAGTCGCCTGAAGCATGAGATCGAATATTTTATACTTTGACGTTCCGTGCGAGCGCTCGTCAATATGTCGTAAATGTAGGCTGTTCTAAATTGTTTCATGATGAAGTGAGCTAACGCGCGCGCATTCTGTGAAAAAATACGACCTGTGCGAGGTTTCGTTACATGAAAATGAATAAAAATACCGTTCCGCTTAGTATTTGCCTTTATACTTTATTGACGAGACGTAATGGACATTTGGTTAACCAAACAGTAGGGTGCGTCGAGTATGCCCGAATGAACGCGCGCAATATTATGATCTTGGTTTATCGATACTACCGGATCAGTGGTTATATTTGCCTAGTTTTCCCTATACATAAAATAATTAGCTGGTCGATTCGTTTAGCTAACTCGAAATCTGGTTATGTAACCTTTATGGCGTCCATTTGTCAATAAGTGATATTCAAGACGCGTCATTAATTAATAAACGAGAGTATAAATTAGTGGATTCCGAGCGTGGTTTACGGATGCGAAAATAAAATTGTAAGAACAATTTAGAACCTCGGGTTGTGGCGTTTATCGTTCCATAGTGTCGTGATAATTTAATTGTTCTCCGAAGAATGCATGATGTTCACCATTTAATTGCAAGGCCACATTTGAAATATGGCGAAAGGTAATAACTAAAGCCTAGTTAAAGTTAAAATGAACTTTCTACCGTTACTTTGAGAAGAACCAATTGCCATGCAAGAGAAACCCAGTAAAATTTACCATAAGATCAAGCATGGGGAGGTCGTGTGTCCAATATTTTGATGACATTAGATCTTATAATGAATTTTAGCAAGGGAGAAAAAAGATGGCGACCACGAGATATCATTTTTACACTGACTCTTCATCCTTCTGTTATCCTTCTTATTTATCTATATAAAACGTAACATAATGGTAGTTGCAGCTTGAATGATATTATTTATGTTCCTATATTCAGCTTGAAGTATAAATAGATCGTGACGACTGACTCGATATTAGTATTTATAAACAAGCGACACAAATTACAATTTTCTATACGGCGAGCTAAATGAATCCGTAAACGAAAAGTACGCGTTCGAATAGCGAACCGACACAATTCTCATTTGCATTTGATCTTGTGCAGATTTATTACGTTTTGGCCATGCAAATTGCCAAAATTGATTTTCAAAAAAGACATTGTGTGCTTAATTTGATTAAAGAAAACTTATTTTTTCAATTCTGTTATTTTTCCACCAAGGTAAAAAGAGGGCAACTTCGTGGGCACCATGAGTTATGAGTTGTTTATACGGATTCATGCAAAATATGTAGCCTATCACCTAATCATATGTACTACATTTAATATACTTTTCATGGCATGCTAGCCTAAATCTGATTTGACTGATTCTTTGTCTCCCGATGACGCATTTCGGCCTCATGGGTATTATTAATAATTATCATAAAATATCCAAAATTTTCGAGTTAGTAGTATGATTTTAATTTAAGAAGGAAAACTATTTCAAACATCTAGAATTGTCATTTATCAGCCAATATAATATTGCCCAGAGACCGAGAAGTTTATGATTTCTACTCAGACAGTTGAATTAGTTTGAAAAACAGCTCATTTTTGTTTTAAATTTTCGCCCAATTAAAACAAATTTACATTGCTTTAAATTGTTGCACTGGGTATTGCTCTAATCGCCAGAATCAAAATTCGATTGTTTGTAATAAATTATGTCAAGAGGCCGTCTACAATGAACGAAAAATCTAATTATTTTAAAAGAACTAAGCGAGATTGATTCTACACTTAAAGTAAAGAAACTGTGATAACAAAGCAGAATAATATCACTCAATCAAATTGTGCAGCCCTGGTGGATTGTCACTTTTCTCTCCAAACTAAATTCGAATATATAATTACAGAACTAATGAATTCTCTCGTTTTGTTATCTCGTGGTAATCGCCATATATCGTGGGAAAGTGGATAGAAAATCTACTTTTTCAGCAAATCTTATCATCATACTACAATTGGCTGAATCAAAAAAAAAAAATTTTCTGCAACTTGACGTTAGCCGTGAATAATATGATGATAAACTGCTGAACTTAATTGATTGATTACTGTGCAGGAAAACGATCTACTCATTCATAACTACGTTAGTAGGAAAAGTGTGCAGTAAGATTGGCTACTCCGCCGTGCAAATCACCAAATATTATAAATACCAGCTTTGGAGGATATTTCACCAGATGTGAAATAACACGTTGGAATCATTTTCAAAGTATGAACTATCATTGTTGTTAAACTTCAGTTTTTAACTTTGAAGTTCAAGACTTTGAAAACAATACCATGTGTTATTTATATATTGATAAATTAGAGAACTTGTGATAGTAAATATGATTTGTATTGAAGTGAATGTGGCCAAATGTTTAGAAAGTTCTCGATTCTTTTTAAATTTTGCAAAACAAAGTGGATTATTTTAAAAATTGTCCAGGGACTTTATACAACTCAAGTTTAATATCACAAGATAGATAGTGAAAGCAGTATAAGGTCTAGTTCTAATATAATTAAACAGAGTTAGAAAAGAGAGAAGACAAAAGAGAAAAAAGAAGAGTGAAACTAGGAATGAACACAAACACACATAGCAAGGATGAGACAGAACGCGAGGCAGAAAACACACAAAATCAATGAAGAATTACCATTGACTCACCAACCTTCATCCGTTTATCTTCAATTTCCATCATCAGCAACCGCTACATGTCGCTCGCGAGCTTCCAACAATATCACGCCCACCACAAGCTATGACGCAGATCTGACCCTTCTCTAATAGCGATACACCCTTATTCATTCCCTATACAGAAGATGCTCAACGATGCCGTTTTCGTCAGCAATACTTTGATCTTTTCTAACTACAATGCTTCTAGTGGTGGGCGGGTACACAGCCATCGTACCAGAATGTATACATCGAATCAGTATAACGTCAGGTCATGTGCAGAAATAGCAAATCTATGCGATGTAAGTGCCTTAGCCATAAAATATATGCAGTGCAGTTGATTAATGAATGAAAACACCAATGTATTAGCATGATGAAAGCAAGCATTTGCACAGTCACCCGACTACGTTAGCAATTACATCCGCCATATTTGAAGGTTCCATAAGCCTTCTTGCTTTTAATGTTATAAAATTATAATTCTGGCAAGCAGACATGCAATAATCGCAATAATTACTGTACTGACTTCGTTCGGCGCGTTTTGTGCAAGTGTTCCAAGCAAATATTTCATTTGACCAGTAATTGAGTTTACAAAAAGCGTTCACATATAACATTGAAAAACACCGAAGGTAAACCTAACGACCTGACGCAAGCAACGAATACGTAACGCGTGGACGACGCAATTGCGTTTCAGTGACGTGTTTTGCGTGAGAACAGATAAAATAAATCTCCAGGTTCGAACAATGATAATGCCTTTATTAATTATATGTTGATGCTGCTAATTTTATGTTGTGGACGACTGAAACGTCCTTTTCGTAATATCGTAATATATTTTGATTAATTTTGATTAACAACTTCTTGAGCTGAAAGGTGTTTTTACTTTGAATATAAAATATTGCAGAATACATGCAAACTCGCATATATTTTTGTTTGTTGTGGAATTATTTCCATATTTGGAACTGTATAAGTCTCAACTAAATATTGCACAAACAAAAACACAGCACAATGAACAGCCAGTATGGTTGCAAAAATCAATTCTCGAATGTTTTATACTAGTTTTTCCAAACGATCAAGCATGATGAAACAGAATCTAGACTGACATCTAGATTTTCTATTCGATCATGTTTATTGGTGTACCCAATAATGAATGTTCAATATACAAAGCATGCTAAAAACTTATCTTGAACTCTGCTATTTGCCAAATGTGATAATGCAACTAATTGTGTAGGAATACATAGATTATATGGACATACCTCGCGATCTTTCGCCTTGTCGTAGTCAACGCTGTAGCGATCGACTCGCTCAGATATCAGGTTTTTGAGCTTGTCATATTTTCTTGTAATTGTAGTCACCTTAAAAAAGGATAGAATCAGTCATTAAGCACTGAAACTAAATTTCACTCTCACATTCACATGAGTTACTTTAAAAATCATAATAGCATAAAAACGATACCTCATAGACCACAATTCTTGTCGTCGTTTTAGTTCCCTTCTTTTTGGCGGCAAGCTCCGCATCACGTGGTTCAAATTTGGCAGCGGTGTCGTCATATTTTTTTGCTGCGTCATCAAATTCAGTTGCTAAGACAACGAGAGAATCCATATTGGATTGCTGACTATCAATGTCATCACTGAGTCCCTAAATTTGAAATATTAAAAATAAATTGTTTTGGTAATTGGGAAACCTACGAAGTCAAACAAAATAAAAGATATAATCGTAACGAACTTCATGATCTTTAATCTGATCGGCAATGTCTTTTGATGTTGTTTTAACTTTGCTGTATTCTTCTGAATTCAATATATTCTCGGTCTTGCCCAAATGATCGTTCTGTTTCGCAGCTTTGTCTTCATATTCTGACAATTTAGCTTCAGCGACTCTTGCATAATTCAATCTGCAAGGTGTTTAAAGGTATATGATTATAATCGGCAGACATTCAGAAAAAAACGACTGGCGACAAGAATAAAATTGTTTTATTGAACGAATGATGACCGCATGAATAGATATACCTTTCTAAGTTTACAATGCATTTATTCTTATTTTCAAATCCCAATTCACCTATTCTTGACTTGGTCCTTTGCTTCGTCCCATCGCTGGCTCAAATCATCTGAAATGTCTTGATATTGTGGAGCATCGAGGTCATCAATTCCACTGTATTTTCCCAGTTTATCCCCGCAATCACGCAAGTCTTTAACAGCGCCTTCAAGTGTCTTAAATTCGGGTTCGTGTTGCGGTATTTCTTTATCCAATTTCTAACCGAATAGTAGAAAAAATGCTTAAGTGCGTTTACTTAAGAACGGAATAGTAAAATAGAAAAATGACAACACATACCTCGAGTAATTGAACCTGGTTTTTCAGTCCTGGTACATCACTCGACATTGTATCCAATTCAATAAGATAAATTTCATATTGACGGATTGTAACACGGGCTACCCGGGCTTTTTCAGTCGCATCATGTAATCGATCCAATCTAAATAAAATTAGATATAGAAATAATTATTTTAATTGACAAAAAATGGTTGAGAATAGGAATACAGAGATGAATAGATAATATGCTCACTTTTCAATGTACAGGGTGCTCAAATATCGCACTGTCTCCCATTTTTTATCGACCGTTTTCTGTTCCGATTTGAGTTGAGATATTGAGGGAGTTTCATCGTCCGAAGATTTCAAAATGATTTCAACCTCTGCACTCAGCTGTTTGTATTTTGGTTCCAAAGAGTCCAAGCGATTTGATGTTTCCTGAAAAGAAATTAAGAGTGTATATTACAGGAAGGGTTCTTATAATTGATAGTCTATTTTAACAGACCAAAGTCAATTTTGAATGTTGCAGGAAAGGTTAGGCTTCACACTGTTCAGACTATTACAGGAGTGGAGTACTTAAAAATTTATTAGAGCTTCAAATACCTCATGTCCGACATAAATATTTCATTGATAAATTCTATAATCTGTACTTACTTTTTGTTGAGCAATTGCCTTTTCGACACTCTCTGGTTCGGCGGGCATGCACATTCCAATTCTCGCCCGAATAGCGTGTTCTAATGAGTCAAGTTCAGAAATGAGCTTTTTAAGTGACGGAAGAAGTTCTTTACATTTCGCTTCAATAGAGGCAGCTGGAAGTACAAATAAATAAAAGTTATAATGAGTTTTCTTGATTAGACAATTTAGGCAACTTGCAAATAAAAAATACCTTTCTCGGCGTTTGGAATCCTGGCCTCCACTTCTGCCAATATGATTTCCAATTCAGCCTTGACTTTTTCCCATCTTTCAGCGACTTCTTTGCATTCGGCTTCATGGGCAACAATGTCTTGGTCACCTTCGTCAGTTTTTTCGACGGCGTCTTTTGCGTCTTTGAGAGCTTTGGTGACCGCATCAAATTTAGGGTCTTCCACAGGAACGCCAGATTTGAGTTTCTATGAATAGGTTCAAAATATATTTTAATTATTATTCGACGAAATTTTATTGTATGTTGTATTTTTATTGTATAGTGAAGAGTGAGGCTGCGTAAATCAAACCAACTTACCTGGAGTGTTGCACAGCATGCTTTCAAGTCTTCTACGGAGGATTTCTCGTTTGGTCTCGATTTTGAGACCTCACTTTCGTAAGTCTTCAGTATTGGTCTGACAACAGCTAAGCGTTCGAGAAGTTCCAATAAAGCGTTGACCCTAAATTTATTGATAAAATGGATTATGAGTAAAATGTGTAAGATGGAGACATGGAATTGGAAAACATAATTGTAAAATGTGAACAATAAAACAATCCTCAATCGAATCTTACTTTTTCAAGTATGACTTCACAAGATGATCGACCAATTCCCATTTATTTTCCATTTTCTCAACCCCCTTCTTCAATTCAGTCACTGATGGCGCTGTTGAGTTCTCTTTTTCAATCAAGGGTCTGCATTGCGCCAAAAGAGCAGCATATCTAGGCGTTACATCATTGACGAAGTGTTCAATGGTAGTCTAAAACAAAGTAAATATTTATTTAGTAGTCAAATCAAATAATACTCCAATTATTAGTGATCTTGACTTAGTACCTTTTGTTGCTGGACGACACGTGACACTGCGTTGACGTCAGATGGCAGCATAACATCTGCACGAACAAGTTGAGCGCTTTCGAGACGTTCCAGCTCGTGAATAAAAGCTTCCACGCCAGGCAAAAGAGAAGCAGCTGTGCTTTCTTCCGATGCAACTAAAAGAAAAAACAAACATGTTGGTAAGTATATGGTTGGTTAATAATACCAAATCTATCAATACAAGCCGATATTTCCATAAGCATGTTAATTGTTAGCTTAACTATTGAAAATTTAGTTAAATTATGATAGAATTTGTCTGTTGTCAATGCATTTTGGTAATTCCAATCATGATGATGAAACTATTTTTACTCATGTCAACACCTACCTTTTTCCATGATTGGTATGCGTTGTCCCAGTAAAATAAGTCTTTGTTGAAGTCTCTTTTTTGCTTCTTCCCATCGAGCTTCCAAGTCTTTGAAATCGCGATCGCGCTGAGGAACATCTTGCTCAGGGATATCAGAGACTTCCGATAACTTTTTAGTGGTTGCCTGGGCGATTTCTAGCGTTTCGCTGACATCAGGAAACTTGGGCTCATGAGTCGGTATGTTGTCAGATAGAGCCTAAATTTGAGAAAGAAGATTGACCAACCATTGGAAAGGAAAAAGAAATAACGCAGTTGAATGTTATGAATATTCATTCAAAACTACCTTTAATAGAGCCTGTTGCTTGCGTAGAGCATTCAAGTCCTTTTCTGGCAAGTGGTCATTGGCATCAAGCGTCTGCTCGTAAGTCACAACAACAACGTTGACGTCATGCATAAGCTCAGATACGTCATGTAATACTTTAATTCTGAAAATTGTGTAAAACAGAGTTATAGAAATAGTTTAAGCCATGTCTGCAAAGAGATGTAAACACTTACTTCGCGTAGAATAGTCCTGTAATTTCATTCAATAAAATCCATTTTTCTGTCATTTTGTCACATTCCTCACGAACTGTGGTTGCTGTTGGACTTTCCAAGTCCCCATGCTCAAGTACATTGTTGCACTCGGAAACCAAAGGTTCGTAATCGGACGAGAGATCGGTTAAACGATTTTGAACGTCCTGTAAAGATCGGAATATAATCGGTTTAATATGCTATTGTGTGCACTTCAAATTCTTCCTGAACAAAGTTTTTCATGATAATTTCCTAGAGAATTTTACACTTTTACACAGTTCTTAAATTTGCGTTAGGTATCTCTCTGTCACAAGAGTAGTACTCGTGGTCAAACTTGGAATATCTTGGGATTTGGCAATTCTTCTACTTGTTATTCTCTTGTGTTCAAGATTCAGCTATGAGTAAACTCTCATAAACAATTCAGTTGGGCAATTTTAAAATATAGTCTACCTTTTGCTGTGCTTGGCATTTTTGTAAGCCCATCGCTTCTGATGGTAAGCTAACTTGCATTCTGGCAGTTTGTGATTGAGTGATGCTATCTAATCCACGACTCAGTGCACGAATACGAGAAAGAATATCCGACAATAAACGTTCTTGAGCAGCAGCTAAAGAAGAAAAATATTTAATAAATGAAAAATTATTGGTAAATTTATGTTCAATCATAATATTTATGCGAGTGTTTGTGCTTGTACGTCGAGTTTGCACAAAACGAGACTTAGTAACGTGCAAAGTGCTATAAATAAATAGCAGTTCTGATGTTCTCAATACAGAATCCCATTTCCCAAAGTTGAAATTATAATTTCATGTAAAAATTTTAAACCAAATACCTTTTTCCATTTTCGGCAGCTGGATTTTCACTTGATCAGCCAACATTGTAAGTTTCGATTTTGCTTCTTCCCATCGACGTTGTAAATCTTCAATATCGTTAGAATAAGCTTCCAAATCGCTGTTGCATTTATCGGCAATAGTAGGAGGCAATTGATGAGAAACTTCGCGAGTAGAAATCAGATTTTTTGACAAAGCATCGAAATTTGAGTCGTGTACTGGAATGTCAGCAGCCAATTTCTATACGAGAAAATGGGAGATTGTATTGAAGTATAGGAAACAATTAATGAAACTGTTTTGAAAATCACATTGCTTGCTATGGACATGGCTCTTTATTTAACTTGTGAAGTGCAATGCAAAGATTTTAATACAAACCTGGAAGATGTCATTTCTTTTACGTAGCGCATCGACATCCGTCGTGGAATGAGATCTTTCTGAAATTATTTTTTCGTATGACGATACCGCCTTCTCACATTCGATTATCGCACTTTGTGTGTAAAGAAGTCCTTTGATCCTAAAAGGCGTAAATATATGACGTCATTAATATATTTACAATGTTAGAATCAATAATGATAAACTAACTATAAATCATTATTCATAAATTAATCACAAATCACATTATGCATTATGTATTAAAAAATATGTACTTTTCGAAGTAAACGTGCGTCATGAGCCATACAATCGCCCACTTCTCTTGAACTTTGTGAAGTGTGTCACGTAAGAACGGTATGCTCGGTGCCAAGCCAGAGGTTTCCTCGTTGATGAAGTTAACGACGACAGTTTGAGCAGAGTCGTATTCGGGTTTCAAATCTTCGACTCGTTTCACCACAGTCTGGAAAATAATGTTGCACAGTCAGAACCTAGCATTTCGTTTTAGCAGTGTCATGATGTCCTGAAAATTCATAAAAACCACAAATATAAAAAAAAAAGATTCGTACTCCTTGACTATCTTCGGCTTGCTGGAGTGCCGGTACCGATCGTGGCAGCCAAACTGCCATTTGAGCCTCTTGGCTAGTCGAAATGCTGTCAAGGGTGGCTAGCAATTTATTTAGACGGTCGATTAGAGATTTAGCTCGCTGTTCATCCGCTTCGCCTGGAAAATTAAATTCAAATTATGGCTTTATCGAGTTCGCAAGTATTTTTTTTAAATAAAAAGTTTACGTACCTTGCTGTGCTTTCGGCAATAAATCGCTGAATTTTGTCAACCTTAAAAAAGTAAAAAGAAAGTATAGTAAAACATTGTATGAAAAAAGTTCAAAACCCTTTAAACCTACATTGGACTGAAAAATTAAAAGTAAACTACTGAAAAAAAGTCGTCTAAACGCAATTTGATTCATGGTACGGATTAGACAACTAGATAAACCATAATCACCTTTCATCGACGAAGACTTTGCAAACTTGCCATCTGTCTACGACGTCCTTGACATCAGCAGTATATTTCTGAACGTCCACGTCTTCGGTAACTTTATTATCTTGGGTATTTGCTACCTTCACAAGTTTGGTGCCAATTTCATTCGCCTTTTGGGCATCTCGTTGCAGATTTACGATAAGGGGGTGATTCTTTTCGAGAGTGTCTCGCATTTCCTTGAATTGAGAATTAACAAATTTAACACTAGTCAAAATATGTCATTGGTGGAGTCTGTAGCAAAAATTGTGTGGCAATCATATTAATGGAGTCATAATCTCAAAAGTCACACATATTGACATCAAAATTTTTGAACGTCGCTTCGAGTTTTAATGCTTAGAAACAATGTTTTTATAATGCAACAAAATAGCATTAAGACATTAAAGGTAATAAAGCTCATGGTTTCCTTTGTTTGAATTATGTAATCTATATCGAATAAAAACTCAGATCATTGAATGATATGTACTACTAAAGGATGAATATTTCTGAAATTCCACGACCATGTCACCACATGCAAACTTATATATAATGTTATAATTAGATGACTTCCGCAGGTCAAAATGTTTTTAACCAGCCAAACAAAGACACAACCTACTAAGAATAAATGGTTCATTATCAAAATAAATTTTTTTCCCTAAATGAATGAAAGCACAGTAAAATTAAAAATTTTAATGTCAACCATATTAACGCAATATGAAAGTTCATCGAAAATGATAATTTTGTCACCCATGTAACTATAATGGCAAAATGAAGAAGGAGACTCAATATGATACTATGAAAATGGTGATGTGGTGTTGTTTGTACTTTATTTCAGTACTTACATGAGTCTTTGTATTGGCAGTCTACATTACATAAAACAAGTTAAAATAGAACGTAATAATAATCGAAAAATTAGATCACAAAATATCTTGGGTATTACGACACTATTTTAAATAGACTAGAAACTCATAGTTACTATTATTGAACAATGATTTTAAATAACAATTAATCTTGAGTTCTCCATTTCTCAGGAAAACCGTAGGCACAGTATGAAAGCAATAGATTAAGTAAAAAAATTGAAAGCCACCCTTTCCACAAACCTGGTAAATGATTTGTTGTTTTCTCAAGCTATCCGAATCTTTCGGGATTTCTTTATTTTCTTCAATCTTCGTTTCGACGCCTGAAACAATATTTTGCGCTTCTTTTGTCGATTGCACAACAACGTAGACCATTTTCAACCTGTGGATAAAACATGATATATTATTCTCATGAACTAGTTTTTATCAGCTGTTGATCAAATAAAAAAAAAACTATTTTACTTGTCAAAGTACAGAGTAGAAATATTCCATGTTCGATCCCATTTTTTCTCAACTACTCCAAGTTGATTGCCGAGTTCCTCTTTCGATGGAGCAGAACAATCCTCTCTTTCCATGATTTGTTTTGAACCTTCACGAACTTCCGCGTACTGAGGTTGGATTGTTTTGAGTTCAACCACCGAGCTCTGAAGATAAAGTACATAAACGTCAAAAATCGAAACACACATACTCATCCACAGAAACTATCGGATTATAATAGTAAAATCACTTTACCTCGTGGTCGTTGATGACATGTTGCACACTAGCGACGTCTCTTGGAAGAGCTGTTTTCACTCGAACAGAAACAACTCCATCAATAGTGTTGAGTCGACGAAGAATTACGTTTAATCGTGAAATGTAAGTACGGCATTGCTCTTCGTCCTTGTCATCTAAAAAACAATTCGAATTCAAATATTAGGTTTGTTTAATGTCGTGTATGAAGTTATTGAGCACAACTGCTTACCTTGGTCCATTTGTTTAGCAAGAGATTCAGCAAGTTTCAGACATCTTTGAACTTCGACGCGTAGAGAGGCGATTTTGACAGTCAAGGTTGGATCATTTGATTCTGCATCTTCAATTCCTTTGAGACCGTCTTTCAAATTCTTCAATGCTTGATCCCGTTCAATAGGACTCAAAAGACGATACTATAACGAATAAAAACAGAGAAATAAAATTACGGACTTCCCATCCCTAATACTATGCTCAAATTTTATTTGAATATTTTGACTCACCGATTCTATCGTCCACGATGATACGTATCCGATACTTCTTTGAAGGTTGTTGATGGCCACTAACAGCTGTACTCTGGCATGTCTTTCACGCCACAATTCCAAAAACGCCAGATAATCTCGTTCCAGCGCCTGGGCGCGAGAGATAGATTTAGCACTAGGAGGCGGTATGACAAAAATTGCCGACGGAGCTTCTCCTTGTTGTTGAACGGAGTTGATAACGACCCATCTTGTCGGTTGCGGTTTGTCTAACAAAGCACATTCTTCACTCTTAGCGATAGAAAGCTGAAATAAAACAATAAAAAGTTGAAAAAACAAAGCCGTGACGAACAAAACAAAAAAGAAATAATATCACAAAGTTCCATTTCTTACATTCATTTGCTTATAACTACACAAAGCTTGTACAGTCGGTTTAGAATCTTTGATAACCGGGTTTGGTCTTTCTTCTACGCACGGTATATCTTTGCTGCGACCAATCAAATTTGTTACAGTTGGTTTGAATTTTTCCAAATCTTCTTTTATTTGCTGTAATGAAAAATATTTTAAAATAATTTAATTTTAGTCTTTAACATTTTCATAAAAGCTGTTAAGATCATGCACTTAACAGCATGTTTGAGAGATGAAAATACTTCCAAACAAAGAAAAACGATATGGGAGAAAGATCATGCAGAAGCAAGTGCTTTCTTCAATATAATCTAGTTATTAGCAGACAAATTTCACATTTGCTCCGTTTTTTTTTATCATACAAAAAGTCACAATTTTCGATTTAATGCTGCAGTTGTTCATTCATTCACACCAGTATACAGAGATGACAAACAAACTTTTAGTTTTAAGTATAGATACGTACAAATCATAGTTTCAAGCAATTTCGAATAAACTTATTCAAAATACACAACTTACATTGCCAGTTGTTACAAATCGCCACTGATAATACATTTCAACTTACAGCTTAACGCAAAACAAAATCATCCAAAATGAAAAACGGAAAAAAAAACTGATAACAGAAATGAAGATGAATAATTATTGATAACTTGAATTCAGTGCGCAATGTTAATTCAAAAAGTGAAAGAAAAAGGCGATATAGATGCATGTGTTCAATACAGCCTCTTTATTGTGGCATTTTAACATAATTTAATAAAGAAAAGACGCTAAAACTAAATGTAAGTAAGCTGACTTGAAAAATTAGAAATCGACATCTCAATAATTTTGACACCTATTACATCTACTAATGAAAAATTAAATTGATTGAGAAAACCTAAATAGATTACTCAAATTGCGCAATATGCAAAACATATTTTTCAAAAATTTGAGTAAAAAAGACAAGTTTTCATATTTTTTTACATGTTAGTAAATTTAAATTTAAAATATATCGCAAGAAATTCAGGAATGTAAGGCCATTCAAATACAATTTCTTACAAGATTGTTTTACAAGAACCACAAACAACGAATACAGCAAATTCATTCTATCCAAGGACGATAAGATCATAGATAAACTCTAGACTAAACTAAAGAATCAGATTAAGAAAATCCAACTACTTTTATTTCAAATTAATCAGTAAGATAATATTTTAATTCAAAATATTTAAAAGGGACATACATATAGGTAGCTGAGCTAAAATAAAAACATCAACTAAAAGTAAAAGAACACTGAGACAAATAAATAATTAACATTGAAAATAATGTTGAAAAACAAGAATAAACACACGTGAAGAAGATAAGCACTCTGCATTCGACAAGCTGACTTACCGAGAATTCAAACTGTGGTAAATAAATGAAAAGATATAAATTTTGATTTTTTGTTCATAAAATATGGAATAGTTGATTGTGCGAAATTAAGTAATAAATAATAATATGATAGAATTGTATGTTCTAGTTCTATAAATACTAATAACTAGAAATAAATAGTTTTAAAAAATATAAATTAAAATCATCTTACGAATATGTCACGGAAAATATGCTCTGCACGATCAGGCTCAGTATCAGGAGATATTTCACGCATTTTTTCATCCAAGTCCGATTCGCGATCACGCAAAAATGTCTCGGCTTTTCCGCAGTCGGTGTGAAACTAAACAAATACAGAAATCCATTGATTTCGTTCCTCGACGTGAATAGATAATATAATAAAAAATGACTAAAACGTTTCACTCCCAATTACCAAGAATGTCTTGGTAACATCTGACCATTTCAATAAAACTGGTTTAAACCGTCTCATACCTGTTGGTACTGGTTCAATTGCAGTATATGTTGCTGTAGACAATATCCTAAACTCTGTATCCATTCCCATTGATTGTTTAGTTGAGTGAGGTAAGCCTGAACTGTATTTCTTGCAGGGTGGTTTTCGTGGACTAATCGTTCCCCGTCGTGAATGGTAGATTTGAATGAAGTATCGTGTGATTGGACATCCGATTTCATTCTCTGTATGACGTAATAAAACATATGACATCATCACTAAGTTACTAGATATAAAAGTTGAACAAACATAAATTTACGTACAGATAATTGTTTCACGAGAGGTTCAACGTCAGATGTATATTGCGTAAAATCCCTGTTTATTTCGTTGTCTTCTATTTCATTGAGCCACATAAGATGTTGTGTTGCTTCACGTATGAACTTGAGCAGAGAAGAAATTTGACCTTCACGAATCTCCACGGCATTCTATTTAACAATATAAAACATACATTATAACACATTTCCATTTGTACAATAGTTCAATCATAATATCCGAAACCATGCATACCTGCAGAAGTGAATAGTTGACTTCAAGTTGTGACAAATCTTGACAATATCTCTTACAATCTTCACTTCCTTTATCAAAAGCATCCTGCAAAAAGAGAATATATTTGTATTTAGTTTCAATAAAAATTCCCACAAACGTACTTCAGTTACAACAATAATGATTTCGCGACAATTTACCTTTGCTTTCTGACACTCTCTAACGTCAGCATTGAATTTATCAACTTCGTCTTCTAATGCTTTGAACACAGCCAACTGGTTTTCAACTTTTGGTAGATCATCTCCCAGTGGAAATGATTCTGTTTCCCTCTGTTTAAAAACGACGATGTTATTCAAACGATACTACGTCATGAGAATAATGAGATATACGGAAATATAGAAAAACAAAATTACCGTTTTGTCAGCCACCCATCTTAGAGCACCTTGAAGAGAAATATATTCTTTTGTGTCTTGGAGTTTGGGTCTGAGACGAGCTAAAATTGCTGAACGTACATTCGGTGCGTCCTTGAGTGCAGTGGTGTAGGTTGAACGTAGTGCGACCCACTTTTCGTGAAGCAAAAAGACTCTAAAATTTAGAAAAAAATGAAAAATGATGTACCCGTACATTGGATTACATTGCCTATTATTTCCAAGTCGGGGCCAATTCAAAAGTTCAAATGGAGAATATTACCAACTGTTATTTATTTCATCATTTTCTAATTTTAAAAAAAACATAAAATGCGATTAATCGACATTGACTCTAAAATCTCATATAAACACACCAAAACTTACGTTTTGTACATGTCATCTGCTTGATGATATTCGGCATCTTTGAGAGTTTGTACGTCAACAAACATAACTCGGATTTCTTTTTCGCTGTCGCCAAGCAATGCATTAACTTGTTTTTGCATTTGGTCGGAATCATCGCCTTCTGTTTCAATCTAAAAAAAACGTAAAATTGAGTAATGTCTAGAGCAAAAAAGTTACTATCTAGAAAATTATTTCCAATCCTCGCTTGCTGAACAATTTACTCAATCGTTGATTCAACAATAATCAATAAAATTGAACAAAGTCAATATTTAACCAGTTAACTTACGATTTTAATTAGTTTTTCGGCTCCTTCCAGTTTTGTGCGGCATTCGCTCGCTTCGCTTGTGATTTTTAGTACAAGATTATGAAGTTTTTCCAATCTACAAAAAAATAAAATAAAACAAAAAACGAATTTTACCAACAAATTCTAGTTCAATAAAATGTTCGACGTACCTTCTGTATTCAGCTGTAAGAACACCTTCTCTTTCATCATTTGCGGCCATCAGTTCTTGCCATGCCGCTTCAACTTTTGCTGGTTCATATCCGGCGGGAATTTCAAATCGTCCCAATGATTTTTGTGACATTTGTTCCAGGTCGCAATATTTTGGGCTTACAAGATTCTTGTCCGCCTAAATAAACAGCGATAAAGTATGATTAGAGGCATGATGATATTGAAAGCATATTTACCCTTTTTGAAATAACATGTATATTGAATCATAGGTCATGTTCATATAGCAAATATGATCAACAAACAACTTAACAAACAACAGTCACGAACGATATACATATAATATACTTCATTGCCAGATGTTCTCACCTCTTTTCTAGCTAGCTCGTTCTCTTGGAAAAGTTTAATTTCGTGAATTAAATTTTTGGCTTCTGTCACTGTTTGACATGGTATGCCTTCACGTCTTCGTAGAATGACAATCTGTTTCTGAATCCATTCCAGAATTGATGTCACAAGAATTCGATATTCTTCCCAAGTGAATTGCCATTCCTGGAAAATAATTCGCAATTCCTAAGTACACCAGGTTTTGGTATGCCACAAGTTCAACAAGGTCAGCATTGAATATCCATGAAGAAATAAAAACTTGCTAGTAACCCTGTATTGGTAGGTATTATTATTATTATTTTCTAGAATTGATGTCAAAAAATAGATCAGTAAAATCATAATATCTCTACATACCTCGACTGTGATTGAAATCGGGAATGGAGGAACTTTCGGAAAGGCGTCGTACAACGATGAAACGTACGTAATCAACGATCTCTCGTCTGGTTTGTCGACATCAACATCTGTATAAAATACGAAAAACATAAGAGATTTTCGTACATGACCTTGACTAACCTTATGAAGTATTTCGTAACCAAAAATGCAAAACGAGACAATTGGTAGGGCGAGGCCGAAATAAACAAAATGACACATTAGATCGGAATTTTAAAAATATGTGAATATAAATAACATCGGCGACTATCTATAATCATGTTGAAACCGAACTCTTATCGTGCGTTGGTGGAAAAGTAAATGCTGGGTTTCATACATAAATCTTTGCTGAAGTACTCTACCTTCTGGGTCCAGCAATCTTGTCACTGCAACTTCCTTCTCGAGCGCTGAAAACGCATTTTCTAGATTCGATTTGTTGTCTGACTTACGTACTTGATCCATGTCAATGAGGTCAGGTCTGGAAAAATAAAAAATGAAATATATAAAAATGAAATTTTCATTCTTTAATACATAAAAAAAAACGAAAAATACCTATTCCTGTGTAAAATTGCATTAAAAACTTTTCCGTCTCTCCACGAAGACGTAAAATTGGTGACCCTGATATCGTCGTATCCTTCCATATTTCGTTGAGCCCACAATAACAAGGCCTGTTTTGCAGAAAGATCATCTTCGCCTTCAACGGCTATGTCCTCAATCTGATTGAAAGGAAAATTAATTGTTTTAATAAAATAGCAACAAATTAAAGTTACAGATAATACAAATAAATAACAAAAGACGATTATGTCAGCAGTCATAGATGGACCGAAGGTAAGATGACGTCACATAACTTGCCTGGAAATGAAGAATGATTGTCCACACAAGTCCGAGTGTGAGTTTCGGATTTCCATCTGTTATGTCGTCATTTCTTATATTGACAAGACGAAGCTGAAATATGAAATTCGGAAATTTATCCAGATCACGTATAGTCCAAAAAATTACCCAAAAATGTATGTGCTTAAAGAAAAATGCAATTTACCTTTCGTTTCTTCAAATAGTCTAAAGCTATCTGCACATTTTGAAGTCTGTGAAATCTCATTCGACCCTTTTCTCTCGGCTAAAAATAAACATTTCAGTTAGAAAATGCGCGTTAATTTGAAATTAAACATATCGATAAGTAACAGAGTTTACATGACTATACATATATCGTACCTCGTTTAAAACTTGATATCTACAATTAATTCTGGTCTGACAAAATTTTATAGCATTTTTCTATTGGTAATTTATAATCATTTAATCGACCTGGACAACGGATACCCTGAGCAAATGATATCAAACAAGAAGATCCAGACAAGTGTCAAGTATAATATAGAAAACGAAAAGTAGATGAGTGAAGGCATTAGGAATAAAGGCATCTTTCTGCACAATTAGTCTAATATTATTGCACAGGTATAATGCCGCGTAATTTCGTTGACTTACCAAACGCATTTGATTCATGTAGTCTCCTTCGCGCGGCTTTGTAGATAGAAAGATAAAAGAGGAAAAGGATTATGAAAAATAAAGAAGAATAAAGTAAAGAAAGAGCCAAAGAAAAGCTAAAAATCTTTGAAATGGAATTTTTGTATTAGTAAGGATAATCTTAGACGTGTATGAATTGTACGCATATCAGCAAGAAAGGTTTGTAGCGATAAACTCGTTTAGGTTACGAAATTGGATGAACGACCCATTCTAAACATGATGTTAATTTTTGCTCATGAGTGATACTGTTTGACAATGTTATTATAATACAATTTATCATAATACAATTTGAATTTAATTCCATCGGTTATAAATAAAACAACTAGATAAATATAGGGTTTCCTCATTTGACGACCTGGCATTTCTAGTAGACGGGATTAAGGTTTGGTATTACCGCGCCTATGATGAAATTGGCATTCACGCCTACGCAAACCACCAAACTGGCATCATACCACGCAAAAACGAGAACTTGAATTTCAAATTGAGTACGCTTCATGTTCAAAACAAAACATGCGTAAAAGGGGCCACACACACGCACGCACAATTATCATAGCTATGTGTTAAATCATGTAATAGATCAACGATCATTTTCAAATCGTCATAGCAAATCAAAAGTAGGTAAAACAGACAAAAACCCAAGACTGTCAGGCGACTCACTGATTTAAATAAATCATTAGAGAAATGCAGTCCTGCGCATTTCTGGCGGGAAATTTCGTAAGTGGGGCGATGGCATTCTTTGCAAATTGCCATATCATACGAGACCTCAACTGATATTGAAAACTAAATGAATATGAGAAAAAAATATTTCAATAAGAAATATTGAAACAAACAGACAAACAGTTATTGATTTAAGTGTTAACCTTTATAGTCAAAATATGGAAATTTTCAATATGAATCAAAACTCATCAAGTAGAAAGCAGATTTGAAAGAATATAAATGACTGAAGTAGCCGTCAATATTTTGTCACGCGATTTCATGAAAACTATATTCAAGTCTAAAATCGACAGTTTAAATAAAAATTTCCGTTTCTAAAAGTAAACGTTGTCACTTGTTGGATTTTTCGAAGACCACATGAAGATCCATAACCATGGGAAGTCGCACACACGCTGCTTCGCAAAAAAATAATTGGGACTTGGGACAACAAAATTGTATGCCTTCAACAAAAGCAGAAACGAGAGAATCTTGTCAAAACGTATTATTTTTGTCCTAATACAGAAGTGAAATAACAAACAATAATCCAAAGCAACGAATATGGTTTTGGCGGGAAATTTAATTCTATTCTCTATAGAGTATTCCATACAAAACTTACGCTTGTTTGAGCGACTAAACTGATTACATAAAACGAAAATAATCTCACCAAGGTTTCGCCAGATAAAACTTCCAGTAATGCGATCAAGTTGTGGCCATCTCTCAAATCTTCGTATAAATTATCCACTTGTCTTCGGGTCTGTAATAAATTAATATAATGTAATATTGCACTGCACATAACTGGGAACTTCTAAAATCGTTTTTATCCAGAAGTACAAAAGAGGTTATGGGTTATTTGGTAGCTGGTGTCTTGATAACGGTTTTCGAATACGTATGACTGATGCATCGGAACCGGCAATTAACGAGTAATCACTAAAGGCACTGTGTTAATTACAAATAATAGGGCTTGCGTAAAACGGGGATTTCGATTTTGTCTTCACATTATCAGAAGGTAGCTGAGGAAAAGAAGTCCTATGAAATAGCCGCCCTAAAGAAGAGTATACCCGCAATGATATATATGAGCAATCAAGGTCAGGCGCGAATGTCATCATGCGTTCATGGCTGGTCCATAAGTAAGTCAATAATAAGTATTCTTCTCCTACGAAACATGGATTCATACAGCGGATTTTAATCACCAAGCAAAGCCACCATTGACACAACAGTTGGTAGGCAAGTCATTAAAAAAAAACATAAAGTAATACAATAGCCCGAGGAAAGTTGTTCACGTCTACAAGACATTTATGCTCACAAAGTGGCTTCAACGAGATAATAAAAGAGCTGGTATCATTATATTTACGATAATACGGGTCGTTTGTTGTTGGTGTTGGTTATTAGGAATTCTAAAACTTGACCATAAAATGCAAGGTTTACCCTACTATATCCCTCCCATAAATGTCGCTGCGCAATCCCATGCAGTCATTTTAAAGACTTATAGTCGAAGATGGAACTATAACACGGAAAATATTTCTTATTAGATTCGACTGAACCAATTTATGCTCATGTACTGCGATGTCAAAAGTATCTAAAAAAAATATACACATACCTTGACTAAATGCTTGTTTATCCATTTTGTAAATGTCTTTTTCTGTACTTTGTCGCGTTCATCTAAAAAAAAAAGAATTTGTTGAAACTATGAATTATATCAAGTTCGTCAAATTCCATGTCCAATTCAAAGGGGTTATACAGTGTTGACTTTGTCATCAGTTCCAAGCCAAAAAATACGAATTAGTTGAAAAATGAAATCGCACTGAAATGAACTCATTCAAAATCGCTAGTTAATCGTTATTTCGATGCGAAATAAAGAGATTCGAACGCTACGATACACCCGAATGGAATTCTTTAGTCCCGAGTCACTCATACATATACATGGAATAGCATTCTATTATGTGTTGATACAACATTCATATTATACCTTGCTAATTCGGCTAGGTCGATATCGAGTTTCATTACCGCATAAGCCTACAGAACCCTGTGGCGAAAATTCAATGAATTCAACATATTGAGATTAGCCTGGGATATATTACTTAAGATAATGCTTGTTATTAATGCCCGTTGTGATTGAAAAATATTATGAAGTTTTGACACGTATAAGTAGAAATCTTATACGTGTTGCTTCAATAATGAGGCTACAAAAAACGACAGCAAATTAGTAGCTTTTTATCGTGAGTAATTTGAAGAAATAGAAACCCAACCATGGGAAGCAGTCGCGTTATATTATAAATATAATTTACGACAACTTCTATCCATATTAGAGTGATTTTGACATCGACCACACGCACATGCCGTAGGCATCATTGAAACGTTAAACTCGAGCCATTTCGGTTCATTCCCATAGCAAAATAAATTCAATTCTTAGTAAAGCCAAAATCAGCTTTAAGAATTTCAAAATATACAAACTATAAATCCATCCAATCCCGAAAAGAATTTTACGACAACCAAACCACAGCATTGCTTATAAAGGTAATATACGGAACACTCGCGGCGATTATGCTAACGTTTGAATCAACACTGAAAAATTGAACGTTCCATGTTCCCACACACAAACCATTTACATGACGTGGTAGGACATTAAGATTAAAAGTGAGCACTAGTGGCGTTCTTACCCTGACACGTGTTTACGGTGTTTGCATAGGAAATGTTATTTACTGAAGAGCCATGAAGACTGCTTTGACAAATCGCAAATCGGCTATAAACTATCGACCAGTACCATTTTCTATAATAATATGCACACATCGCACTAAGCAGTAATAAACGTTTCAATAAGGGCGTAGCCAATTTTGAAACGAAAGTTCACTACATAGCGTTTAAACTCTTAATTTCAAGAGAATTAAAATGTTCTCGCCAGTACCACGTGAAGTTTAGTGCGACTGATATATTCATATAGTGCTTATCAACCTTTTCTGATTAAGCTTGTATAACTAATGACACTAGAGGTTGCGAAACAGAAATATTAATCCTAAATTCAAAATTTATTCCACCTCTCCCTTCATCAATTTTCGATTCAATGCTATCATTGTAATCGGGATTTTCCGAAGTTACTCTTCTTGATCGCCACATATCAATATCTTCTTCTTCCTCCTCCTCTTCCTCCCTCCTTCCAGATTCTTGTTTTTCTTCCTGAGTATATTCCTGACGCGCTGATGTTGAATACTGCACCACAGTGGTTTGACTAAGGTAATCCTCTTCAACTACTCCTGTGTGAATACTCCTCGAATGTGTTTTCGTTTCGGAAACTTTAAGGAAAGTTGATCCGCTCTCGTTCGACGTTGTCGGTTGAACAATTTCTTCAGGCGATGTCACTTGATTGACATCTCTCGTTTCTGAGCTGATATCTTGCGATTTCTGCCTCCAATTTTGGTCTACATCGTTTCCACCTTGACTTGCGGTGCTCGTGTATTTCCGTCTGTCGTCTTCCGGATAACTTCTCTTTGCGAAGTTTTCACGTTTCTGGCCGAACGGTTCATTGCGCTTGGTATTATCACGTAATTCGCTTTTATATCCCTCTCTCTCCTTAGAATACTTTGTCGCTTCACCGCCTTCGCTACGCCAGTTCCCATTGTATCCGGCATATCCGTTTACCGCGTTTGCTTGTTCCCTTTGCTCCTCTCTTCTGTACCCACCGCGAAATTCCATGCCCGATTGACGTGAATAGAAACTAAACGAGGCGCTTGAGCCCGCACCGGCATCTGCGACTTTATCTCTCCCACGCCCAAATGCTGGTCTGGGAGAATCCACTTTTCCGCGATATTGGTTCCTACTTTGTTCCGCAACGTCAGACGACTGTTTCTGTAGCGTTCGACCTCTCCCTGCGCCTAACCTAGCAGTTGGCGCCCTAACACCACGTTTCAAAGTATTGGGTATAATTTCTGGTGGAAGGTGCAAAAAGTCACGAAGGTACTGTATTCCAGAATCAGTCAATGTCCAGTAGTAATGTCTCCAACAAAATGTTTGTCTAACAACACCCTTTGAAGTCAGTGACTGCATAGCTTTTACCACGTGTAAATTGAGTATAGGCGCTCCTCCACTACCTATGGTAATATACTCATGAGGTCCGCGAACTGTTTTTTGTGCTACACAAACCCCGTCTTCAAAAAGTGATTGATAAATGGCCACTAAATGGCCCTTCGGCATCAACATTACGTCTAACCTAAAGAAACAATAAATGACCAGATCACGTTACAAGAAAGTTTCTTCCAGTCATCTAACTTAAACAAAACGGCTTTCAACGCCAAGAAATGCAAAACCAACAATGCAACTGAGTATTTAATGAACGTAAACCGATTCATCTGTAGTTCATGTCCAATCACACCACTGAGTTCATCAATCAAAAAACCCTTTCAATGTTCAATTGCATATTTCTCAGTAAAAAGCCTTACAATTGCATTTGTTAAAACTATTGCTGAAATCTATCATACCGGTACGATATATTATTATAAGAAACGCCATAACGCCTCGTGGCACTGTCGTCCGCTAAGCCCCGTAGGCAAAACTAGCTTTCACGCTTCATATGTTAGTTAGGCGCAAAACGTAAACTATCTTCATTTTAGTAATGCTACACGTCTCGAAAAGAAAACGATGATAAAATACGCCGGGTACGAAAACACATTTTAGTAATGTCTTTTTGAAAAAGAAACATAAAGCCGTTTTTCCAAATTTTTTCTCTTTTTATTCTCTCACAAACTCGCAGAGGGTTATCTCCTTCTTTGCTTGCTGAACAATTATTGACATTCACTACCACGCTTTAAAAAATTGAATGAAATTTGTCCATAGTTCCCGAGTAAACTGCCTCATCAGCCAGGATTGTGATATGGAATTATAAAACGCCAAGTATGGAGTGTAGAAAAGAATTAGGGACAAAAAGCTGGCGATATCGATTGATAAGAGGTACTCCATATTGAATATTACAAAAAGTTGTATTATTAAACAATTTTTTCTACAGTATCATTATTTAACTTCTGAAGGTAAAAATCGATATGGCGCCCTGAGAGTTGCTATTATGAAAATAGCGAGACAACCACGTGACCGTCCACGCAAAACTTGCGAGTTTGAAAATGTCACAAAATCCTATTTCGCGACATTGAAAATAAACCAGATTGACCTAAACGATAAGTCGCTCCCAAATAGAATGCCAAATCCACGCAAAACTTTTTATCCTCATCTGAAAAAACGAATAACAGTGTACGCCGCACAGCAGGTTCGCTTGAATAACCGTACTAATATGTAACGGTCCTGGAGCTTTTTATCGGCCTTATAAAAGCAGGCACCACTTGGCGTCGAAGAAGTGGATCGACACCAGTTAAGCTGTTCATAACTTTATATTGGGTAGTGTGTACTTAAGCGCGAATAGCAGAAGCCGGTTTATATCCCTCGGTCTCTTTCTCTCCCTTCTAGCAGTATTATCGAGATGTTGGAAGTTCTGTTCGATTTACTGAAATTGCGAAGTAAATTTTTCATCGTTTACAGCGGGCTATTGGAAACAAACGAACACTACATATAGTAGTGCGGCTATACATACATTCGGCCTCATGTTAATTCGTTGCTCTTTTAAACAGTGTTTATAATAATATATTCGGCAAACATTTAAAAAACACTAAAGTGATGCTTGGTGACCACTCAATCACTTTACAAGCGGAATTTTCATGTCCACTGATGTTAAACGACAGTGGGCTAATTTGGAATTGCTGCAGCGACAAAATATATATTACGTGGGTGAGAGCGAACATGTGCTTCGACTGAAATTAAAGGACATTTCATCATCAAACATTGAAAGAAAATTATTATTGAATGAATGATATTTTCTTCGAACGTTTTTTTCATTCGACGTTATTATATTTTTGACATAACAATTAACCACTTGTGAGCTCAGCTCATTTGGTTATCCGAGTAAAAAGTGGGTCAAGAAGATTTCTCGATGTCATCCACAAACATCCAAGCCAATTTATTTCTTACACTGCGATACCCAGAGCAAACAAGACTTGAAAGCATACTATTTTAGTCCCAAGCGCACAATGTACCTACAGAACACGTTACATACTTCCGAACTAAAATAGGTACATGCCTATTGCAGTGCGTGAACTCTTTAGTTTGCCTGAAACACAATGCTGACAACTGAATTAATTACCGAGCAATCCTAGTCTGACAAGCAATAATTGTTGCTCCTATTAAATCGAAAACTGAAAAGATTCGAAAAATAGCATCGCAGAAATGGGTATTATTATAAAACGCATGAGAGTATGTTTTAATTAATTCGCGTAAGTATTTAAAATAGGATTACTGTATATAGGTTTGCCGCATTGTGCAAAACCCGTGCACACTGAATTTTCGTGAAATTTTTTCTAGCCGCCATAATTTGACCGCGGAATGTTCTATAATAATATTTATACTGAATACTAAAGTTTTTTTTTATCTGTCGAGTCTTGGATCATCTATGCAATTTCTCTTTGTATCTTATTCAAAACTATATGCTCCTTCTCAACGAGATATAAAATACGACAATACAACATTATTTCGTTCTCTCAATATTAAATAGATGAAATAAATGAGTAGTGGAAATTCTAAACAGTTGAAAACGCAAAATCAAAACACATAGTTCGGCAGTGTTCTCG